CTTCACTTGCTTGTTTGCTTCTATGTACTCAGCTTGTGCTTGGACTTTCTCTGCTCGTGTTAGGCTGTTGTTAATTGCTGTCTTCTTGTTCTTCATTTCTTTGATCTTGTCCAGTGTTTCTATAGAGATCCATTTTTTATGATGACGCTTCTTGGGGCCCAGAACCTCTTGACACGTTGAAGTTAATGCTTCTTTGATACCTTTCCAGTTGTCCTCCATAGTAGTTTCTTCTTCCTTCAGTAGATCCTGTAAGGCTTGGAACCTGTTGTTGAGATCTATCTTGAATTCGTTAAATTTGTCAATATCTCGAAGGAAGGCTGTATTGAACCTTTGTAGTGCTGTTTGTCCAGATCTTCTTTAGCTTCAGTTTTAAATTGGCCCCAACTAGGTGGAGATGTGAAGCTATGTAAGCTCCTCTTCTGATTCTCACGTTTTACATAGTCCTATTGAGTTTTTATTGATATAAATATGGTCAATCTGGTTCTCTGTGAGGTGATCTGGTGAGATCCACGTAGCTTAGTGTGTGCATTTGTGTGGAACTATTGTGCCGCCCATAATCAATATGCTGAATGCACCTAGGTTCGCAAATCTCTCACCATTTTCGTTTCTCTCTCCCAGTCCATGTCGTCCCATGATATCTTCATAACCGTTGTTGTGCATCCCGACCATGTAGTTTAGGTATCCCATCACGATGATGAAGTCTTTTCCTGGACACTTCGCTATAATCGATTGAAGCCTCTCATAAAACTGATCTTTATTGTCGTCGTTGATATTTTTGGTGGGTGCATAACATTGGACAATACTCATTGTGATTCCCTTCTTTGTTTTGAATAATGCACTGAAGATTCTGGGTTCATGAGATGCTCGTCCTATAAGTGTTCGCGTGATTCTTTGGACAGCATCAGAGCAACTCCCTGAGTGTATGGAGCATTCCCCTCTTCGTGACCGAGTATAGCAGCACCTCTTATGTATCTAGCCTTTGGTGTCCAGCTAGGGTCGAATGGGTTTCGCTGATCTCCTCATTTTCGTTGCTATCTTACTTTACTTCTCGGTCTCCCACATTGTCCGGACGTTCCGTGAACCTATAGAAATTGTTGCTCTGGTTGTTAGAAGTGTCATCGGCCTCGTGACCTCCAAAGAAACTCGGTTTTCACCACGGGGCGTCATGGTTCTTCTAAATGAAGACCTTTTAACCCCTAGGGCAGAGTTCAAATGGTTTAATTATATTTAGCGCTTTTTAACTACTTACTTTTCTACTGGATGGGGTCACTAACCCTCCTCATTTTATCCGGGCTTGGGACCGGCAGTAAATCTAAAAGAGCTACAGGGGAAATTAGCATCGCTTGCAGCGAAATGAATATAAGTATTACAAACTGACTAGATGTGTTTAATCTTCCCTAATCTAAAGAATTTAGAATTACGAAAATACACATGAATTACATGACTGAAACGTGCCACAGTACCAACTTGTACCCAACTTCATGACCTGCATCGCAACTCCTAAATTAGTTATTATCTGAATAACCTTGATCACCCATTGGACTCGAACGACGTAGTAAAGTAGTAGAACTTTTGCTGTCCTGGTGAATCATTTCTCAAAAATTTCCACCTTTACCGCATTCGAAACTTATATACTTAACGTAGTCTAGAAGTAGTTTCTTGAGATTTGCATAAGGAAGCGAAACAGGCTTTTATGATAAAGCCAGGGTTTTCAAGAAGCTGTATGCTTCTTTTTCGATGAATGTGAGGAAATGTGCCACAATATTAACATCCTCAACACCTTCCTTGGTCATAGCCCATATTTCGAACCATTCCAAGTAATCCTCAAAAGCATCATAATGTAAATATATATTCAACTATTCCATTACAGGCTCCATCGCGACGCCAATATGATAATTAGGGGTATTTGAATTATAATACAAACTAGGAATCTCAGAAATAACGCAATTTAACTAAGAAGTATTAGATGAGCACGAACGAACGTATTGTATTTGGAATTCGAAATCAAGCAGTCATCATGTGCAAAAGTCATTAGTTCATACAAACACCATCGCGATATCGAGAAAATGGAACTTGTTTTCTTTTTCATGTTCCATAGTGAAATGAATATTTGGATGAGCTCCATTAAAAAATTTTAGCAGGTTTGTTGCATGTTGTTGATTATTATATATGATAAAGGTATCATAAACATACCTCGAATAATACATGATTTCATTAATCGTTCCTTTGAGCTTGGTTCTTTAAAGGTTAGTAGGTCTCTGAGTACTTTCGTGATTCTTTTATCAGTGGAATCAGTTAAGTCTTTGTTACTTTTTTCTAACTTGAATCTCGTGTGGTCACTCAAAATGGACTTCATCTTAGAGACATAATCTGTTGTGTTCATTAGAACAACACTTGAACCTTTATCTGGCCGTATTATATTTAAATCATCATTTCGCTTAATATTTCGTAATGCTGTCAGGTGGTCTTTGGATAACAGCTTAGATTGCGGTGTGAGTGGGACGAGGTATTGGTTTATGATATCGACTAGTTTAGATTTAAACCAGCCTTTCTTTTCTTCGCTAACTGGGTGCAACTCTTTAATTTGATCAAATAAATTCTCAAATTGAGTTTCTGTGTCGATTCCATCGGCATGTGTTTTGGGGATATGAAATTTAAATCCAAGCGACAAGGCTTGTGTTTCTATCTGACTTAATTTCACTGTTGATAGATTGTAGAGAGAATTTTCAGGGTTTCCTGGGAAGCCAAAGCAAAGTTGTTCCTTTGAAAGAGTCTTTGACAAAGTTACGTTGAAGTTCTTGCTTATTTTGTTTTACAAACCTTGGATAAAATTGATAAATTTTATGCGACATACGATACACAGATCGTTAACTAATTCATCAAAGGCACTAGTTTCTGTCCTCAAACTTTCAACCAGTAAATTTGTTGATTCTATGTGAGATTTTGTGATGCGTCGAAGGTTTCTAAGAGAAGGCAGAAGTTTACATGAGCGCAAACATTTTAAGAATTGACGTAGGAAACGGCATGACTTGAGGCATTCATCAAAAAACTTAAGTCGAGTAATTTCTATCGATAATTACATCATTCATAACTGACCAATTTCAATTCATATCTCTCTTTATTACCATTAACCTATTTTCAGTGTTACTTCATTACATAATTATCTAATGTGTTTTAATTCCATGAGTTCTAATCACTATTTCTATGTTATGGAACATTGCCTCCCATACTCTATATATTCGAAACAGAAATTTTATGACCTCATTAACTTAAACGGAATCTTCGCTACATCATGTTACTTATATTCATCCTTCATCACCCTCTGATGTATAAGTATGTCAATATCTGTAATAACGTTGAATTTCAAATATTTTAGGTTATAAACAGCTGATGAGAACCTAACGGAATAAAATCAATTCATATTATTCTGCACCAACTTTTGTTCTTCCTCTCTTTACAATGTGATTACATTTATTTATTTAAAAGGCTGATTATTTATGTAACTGAAATTACATCGAGGATCCATATCTGTACTATGAATTCATCTCCAGTTATGTCAACAAAATATTTAGTTATGTGAATTATACTGTAAAACAAATATATTTGAACTTGTTCAAAAAGCTTTCTGTAAATCGACTTTTACTTCATCTGGGCTGCAGCCAATGGGATTGTAAGCAAGAACGACGAAAAGGCGACGACGTGTGTCCCTAACCTTCCGAGTTCTTACGGAGCCGGTTAGTCGAACAGCATATAAACGACTGTTAACGGGGATCCATTCTAATAGTGCTTGTTCTGCTCTCGTACTTAGTGCTATGCCTACACCTGCCAGTCCACGAAAACTGGCCATCGGACAGCCAGATATACAGAGGGTGTACATCGTCGGCTCTCCGTTTCAGCGAGGTAAGGTCAAGTGAATAGCCACACTAGGATCCAGTATGCATGCTTCGGAGATACATAATACATCAATGGTACGAGATTCTAGGGTCTTAACTAAGGATGCGTGCTGGCCGATTGACATAGAGTATGTACGTTGAAGGCTTCAATGTGTAGTTTGGAGCAAGGTTTCAGTAGACCTGGGAGTGTTTCGCGCACTAGAATAGTTGGCCATGGTTACACTTGAGCAGGAGACCAAAAAAGGAAAGTCAATGTAGGTGGAATAATGGGAATTGAAGAGGAAGATTGATTATGAATACAGTGATGTTAGAGGTATGAAGGTAATTATCACTTCCCGGTTGCCCACATCGTGAAAGGGTTCTTCTAGAGGTATCTGAAAAGAAAACTGGATTAAAGGTGGTCTTAGTGACTTGACAGCATTCACTGATAATTATTAGGTTTAAGAAAGAATTTTTAGGTGCAAGAAAAGTTGTTAACATCCTTATCGAAGTTACATATTTGGTAGTACCTAGAATATGTTTTGGTCTATGCCTGATCTCATAGGTTGTAACTTGAACGAACCGCAACGCTAGAGAGACTAGAAATTTCTATAAGACAAAAATTATTAATCTATAAATTAAACTTATATGGTAAAAGTGATAAAGCCACCAATCAAAACTCCGACTATAATATTTTTCACAGCACATGTCATTCCATCTACAGCCTAGCGTCCATGGACTTGATCAATGACACATTCTGACCGATATAGCCCTAAGTAATGTAAACTGGACTCCAGTCAACTTATTTGCACACCCTTCTCTATTGCCAACCTCAAGTATGGAAGAGGAGTCTACACCCAAGTTTCTCTTGTAATATACTCTGAGTACATAAGGTGTTATAAACAGAACTACTGAAAATCACATCACAGAATACAAAACCAAAGTTATACAAAAACAGGCCAAGAGAGGTTGTGAGACGGTCAGGATGTAACTAACTGATTAGCAATAAATCAGAAATAATATGGCGTTGTATAAGTCAATGTATCAAACGGAAGCTCAAAATAAACGGAATATGACAACATATTAGTCTAGTTATTTGATTAGTATGTAGTAAACAAGGACACGAGTGGGGACAATCGAATGTATTTGACATTAAATTACAGTATCTCAATGAAATTTGAGAACCATATAGTAAATAGTTAACTCGTCTCAAACTTGACTGTTCTTTTGCAAATATCAGTCCACTGTCTCAGATTTCATTGTTCATACATTTTCATACCAATTGCGTTGCGTTTCTGTTCTTTCCTTATCGACTTTCTACTGAAACACATTCTACGCTTGACCATCGTTATATACTACTTATGTCGATATAAGTAGTTCACACCACAAGTATACAGTAAGTGTTTATACAATAATAAACGATAAATTAGTTTTGCGACTTACCATTTCTTTAGTCTTCTGATATATCATAGATTGTAGGTCGGTTCAGTTACTTAGAGATGACTTCCTGAAGTATCAATGATTTGCTCCCGGAGCGTCTACAAGTCAGGAGTTAAACAGTTGGTACCAGTGGTATTGGAACTATCGTCTTACTATATCACAATTAAAGTTGCAAACTTATACTACAGAACGGAAATCAGGTGGCCTTAATAATCTAGCACTTGTCACGAGAACTAAGGGGTTGTGGGTACATACCACTATGGATTTCCATACTGTGACAAACAGCTGTCTTATGTTCCTCGAGACTAATATCTGAGAAATTACGACATTCACGAAACTTTACCATACTTTATTCACAACAATGCACATATCAAGCGATCTTTGACTAAACACTTAATCTGATTTGTAATAATGATTTTTTTCTCTCGAACGGAAGGTAAAGACTACAAACACCTACGAAGACAACCTGTCGCAAACGAAGCTATTCAAAACAGGATGTATTCACCATTTCAGAATAATCTGAAAAATGCGCTTCCACTTGGATCAAATGTTGATGTTGCCAAGGACAATGAAAGCTGGATAATTAAACTATCCAGTTCACAGAAATTAACATAAGCATACAAAGTAAGTATCTTCAGTAGATGAGTATCAGACAGTAGTACAAGGAAACTGATCATTTTTTAACTGGGCCACTACTAAAAGCATTACACTTTCTTACTAATATAATTTCGTTCAGTATATATTACTTATAAGAAGGCTGCCACCCATTGTGAAAAATAGCTTAGCACATATTATCTTCCATTTATGTAACAACACCTGAAATGATAGATTCAGCTATATGGTATTAACAGAATGCGAAACTAGTTAAATACGAAAAAAGAGTGTATCAGTTATCTATGCCGTCTTTAGTAATAATAATAACACAAGAAGTTCAAAGTATGATTAGATAAAATAGTATGATGGCAGCTAGAGAGAGAGAATATTATAAACAAAGAAAAACAGAATACAAATGGAAACGAACGCACAGAAACACCTAAAAAACATAGCTATGCAAAGAATGATCAAATAGTACAATATATAAATATACTACGAAAAAAGATTTGAGAGGAAAGTATAATTACAACATAACATTTAAATACAGGACCAAATGGTAATGGAGTCAGTGCTGTAGTTATAAAGCACTGTTACAAACTCAAAATGAATAGAAGTGTTTACTTAAAAGAAAAGAAATGCAAAAGAAGCAGAAATCCCAGTGTCAATATGTGTACATATACAAGTATACCTTTGAGGCGCGACTAGTATTACCAAATATCACTATTATTATCACTGTTAATACATCCGACTAGCGTAAGCACAATGCAAGGAGAAAATCAATAAAAAAGGAATCAAATGAGAAAGACATTTGTCAATAGATATGTGTGATATACAACATACCAATAAGGAACGGTGTGAATAAATCAATCTCCTACTTATATATGGTATTATTAATGGGGTAATGAGAAGTCTATTTTAGGTATGTGAATTAGTAAACTGCTGTTGCAAAGCAGCTATATAACTTTGGGCTTGTAAGGAAGCTACTGCCAACTGCTGCTCTTGTTGTTGACGTAGGACAAGTGCAGCAGCGTTTGCCACATTATTATTTCTTTGTTGTTGTTGGAGCAAGACAGCATTTTGAATCAAGGCTAGTGCTTGATTTTGCTGATGTTTTTGTAAGGCTGCCAGAGTTAAGAAATGTTGTCGTTGTTGATATTGCTGAAGAACAGAAGTTGCATTTAAATTGTCAATAGCTGAATTCAGTGTCAACTCTGGAAGAGTACTACTAGTTATCGATTGTTGTGTGGATGAACGAAGATTTGAAAGCCATTCAGCTGTTAAAGATGATAAAATAGGATTTGATAGAGACTGACTAGCTAAAACACCAAATGGATAGTTTTCTATGATGTTCTGTGTCGGTACTGTGACCGTGATGCCTGAACACAAATGATGATTAAGCTGCTGTGGATGTTGAATATGACGCATTTGACTGATTCCAAGTAATTGTTCAATGAACAAAGGATTAACAGAATTTTGTGGCAAGACATTCAGTGCAGCTAAATTTGCCTGAGATGGGTCGAAACATGAACTAGTAGCATCTGATGAACTAAAATTTGTAGCATTTACACCAATCTGCTTGGACGGAGATATAACGGACGGAACAACCTCAGTAGTTAGTGATGCTAACGATGTACGTAAGGCACCAGTTGTAAGGGTTTCAGTGGTAAGTTTAGCAACTACTTCGCTATCATTCTGCAACTGACTTTGTTTTATTCGACTGGAAGATATATCATCAGGAAATACGCAAGTAGACGAAGATGCATAATTTTCAGCTTCATTCTTACCCAAATTATTCAAGTTTTGTTTGTGAGTGAATTGACTATTTTCAAAATCACTTGGTCCTTCAAGAATTCGATCAATTGATGAAGTATGCAGTGCATCAGTACACAAATTATTCGATTCACAACTATTCGATGATACAAATGACTGTGTAGGGCATGCACTGAGAGTTGTATTGACTAAACAGTTAACGGACTGTTCCTTCAATGTAGATGGCTCTTTTGGCTTACAATCTGAGCTAAGTAAATCATCAGATAATTTTGATCGTTTTGCTGGCAGAACGTCAGAGTTTGATGAATAATCGGGGTTGAACGTAATACGACAGGTGGCTGTTAAAAAATATAACAAATTATCTCTACGGGGGATTTAAAAATATAACAAATAATGTGATAAAAGTAGCTGTAAACCGATGTAATAATTCTTGATTCACATTGCTCTCAAAACCTTTTAGATATTTAACTGTTTGTCATTAAAAAGAAAGTTCTTTTTACAGTATATCATTCTCTGATTTAAATAGTTCAGTGAAAAATCACCATTTCCACATCTAATAAAACAAAATAGCGAAACAGGTTCCTTCAGAATAATTCATAATGGCTGTACATGCATGTGCTTCTTGGTAAATTTCTTTGGATATACATTCATATTAGGCAGATTACGAACATTACTCAATTCATCTTCAATGATAACATCAGAGCAAAGCATTCTAAAACGATGAGACAGATTTTTTTACTATTTTTTCATACGTAACTGATACAGCATTATGAAAGTGAGTAAATTATCCGCTTGTGGACTTACTATGTCAGTCAGCTGCAACGTAGGACCAGGCACGTATATGCATCGGTCCAAGTTGTCATACCGCATTAGCACAACAAGATGAACACCGGATTCATAGAAGTAGTTGATTCAGTGATGGTAATATATAAAAGAAAGATTGTGTATAAGGAGATAGTACAGGAAGAAAGAATTAGTTCCTAGAAAGAAAGATATGAAGCGATTTTAATCTCTTAGTTTAAAGGAAGACAGAGTGTGTATACACCGACGCCATTGTGATCAATTCTGAGCCATGTCACACAGAGTCTCCAACCATTGGTTACTAACTTTCTTCCAATCATCCCTAACACCGGTGAACATTGCGCGCCGTGGTAATTGATGTTCAGGCATACGCAGCACGTGGCCCAACCATCTCAGTCGATGAAGATTCATAACCTCATCAACTGATTTACCATCATTCCCTAGTACCCTGCGTCTAACCTCACTATTACTTACCCGGTGATCCCAGCAGATGCGAGCAATATTTCTAAGGCACCTGTGGTCAAATACTAGTAACTTACGAGTATCTTCTACTCTTAAAAGCCATGTTTCGCAGCCGTATAGTAGAACGGAAAGAACTGCCGCGCAGTATACTCGTCCCTTAATTGATAGACGGATATCTCGCCTTCGCCATAGATGACGTAAGTTGGCAATGGCCAAACGAGCTTTTCGAACCCGTGCTGAGATTTCGTCAGACACCAACCCATTAGGGCTGATCAGACTTCCAAGATAAGTGAAGTTGTCAACGCGTTCGATTACTTCACTCCCTATCCTTAGTTCAGGTGTTGACGCAGACCAGTCCTGAAGCAACAACTTGCATTTAGAGGTGGGGAACGCATCCCAAACATTCTGGCATTGTTGCTCAGTGCTACCAAAAGACTCTGCATTTTATCAGCGTCTTCATCGAACAGGACTATGTCATCTGCGGACTTACTATATATTGTTTAACAATAAATAAATTGGAAGGCAACTAACAGACTCGTTGAAGCCTGCTCAGTAGGAATGCATATCCAACAAAATTTATCAAAAACACATGAACGAAATGAAAATATCACACAGAGTAACAATCATTCCGAAGAGGTTACTGTCCTTGAAATTCCTAAGTGACACGACCGAGGAAAAGGTTGTGCAGAAAACATTTACGGCAGCCAATAATAAAAACCACCAATTCGCTATTAACTCAACTGCTCCCGCGGAACCAGTTGTACAGTGTGTACAATTCCACAAGTCCATTATAGCATAGCAAAACACCACCCATCTTGGTTGAGCAAAGGACAAGTAAGGATGACTAAGTGCTCTATCTTCGCTCACTTAGTGGACAAAAGACATCAAATTGATCTAAATAAAGTTTCTACGGTTAGTAACTATATTTTATCAAATTCATCGCAAGGTTTACAAGTTCTTGTGGACGTTGCTGGAACCATCGGAACCCATCTTCACAAAATTAATCTTTGCATTCCTGAGAAGTTTGTACAATCACTTTCTCTACCTTGAGCATTGATATGAGAATGAGTTTTAGCTGAACTTTGATGAAACTCATTCTTTCATAAAAACAATTTCCTAATTCCTTTCACTTTTGTAGTTTTACATATTTTCAGCCTGTTTGTTGAGTCCTACAAGGTTACTATGATATTGACCCTTTATCAAGATATTTCATCGATTCCTGGTAAATATTATGTAATCTATCAACTGTTTAATTGAATTTCTCAAATGGTTACTGATTAATATAATCCTCTTTCATTCAATTACTCTATACTACCATATAAGCACTGTAAAATTACAAAATTATACCGTTACGCAACTACTCAATGAGTATTATTTCGTTGCTGTAAATCTAATTGTCGAGCTTCAACTGTCCTTTTGGCGCCTAGTTTATGCAGTAGACACAACTTTTATTTTGAGTACAGACTAAATAGACGAAAACCACAAAGATTTTGAAAGATTCTAGTGGCTCAACAATCAAATTTATTAACTTTAAAACGTCATGTCGAGTACTAGCTGCTTTTATATCGAACATTATTTTCTTGCGATGTGATTAGGTGGAATACACGACAAGTTAACAAGGCTATAAAACGATGCAATGAAATGAATGATATTTATTGTTGATTAGTGTTTATCGCTTCATCAAGACTCCCTGTATAGATTTAAAGCGTCATGGAAGTCAATAACAGTAGACGGGAACAACATTTCTACAATTTTTTTTGTTGTACCCTCGATAGACAGCCTTTTCTAACTGGATGAAGTGTAGTTACTTTCTCACAATAATTTAATATATTCTGTTCTTGTTTTAAAAAATAACTATTCTAAATGCTTAAACATTTTGCAATCGATTACAAATCACGTGATGTCACAATAATGGAACAACGTGTGAGTGACATTTGATCATAAGCATATAAACCTGAGTAGAATGGAAGAAACAGTAGGTTAGCGGATTTTAAATTACGATTACAAAAAGTATTATAAAAAGACTAACTACAATACACAATCTAATGCAGTACCAATGGTCGAGGTAAGTTATGGTATCAGGGAATTACTCACTTTTGGTAGGTCCATACTACTTGATTAGTATCTACCATGATCATGATCAATTGGTAAAGACTTTGGATGAAGTGGGGTATTATTTCTACCATTAAAGCTGTATTCATTCCTTATTTTTTCTGAGGTTCTGAGATTCAATACTTTTCATCTTCTAGTATTGACTTCTTTTTCGAACAATATGCTTCAATCTTATTACCACTAATACTTCTTTCATCATTTATCTAATCGATTTCATTGTCACGTTAATCTGGTGTGGCAACTTTGACTGATGTAAAATCGTCCTAGGTATTACATTGGTTGTGAATGACTGACTTTCACTATTATGCAGCTTTTTTCTAAAAAAATCCGACCGATATAGAAAAATAGACTATTTCCTGAAAGATCACTAGAGTCGTATTCTGGTAGCTAACATATGACGTTGTTGCTACCTTGACGTGGTGGTCGGGCTTGCCTATCGTGATGAAGCAACTGAGCTATACTGGCTGGAACAACCGTTCCTCAAGGTCCTACCATGCCAGACAGGTCGGTTGAAGAGCGGTAAGACTAAAAGCAACAAAACCAAGGTTCGAAGGCGAAGTCGTACTGCTGACTGTACAGAGGTGTGACAGCAGTAAGGTGTTTCCTTCGGACAACCAGCATAACAGCGATGCTGCCTTCCCACAAGGAAGGGTGGGGTTAGAAAAGGTCGGCCCTAAAAATGCACACCTCGCCTTATCCCACGGAAATCCGTCTCCGACGGTAAGGACTCAACAAGTACGGAGCTAGCACAAAAAACACTCATAAAAAGGTCGTGTGTGACCGACCTCAAGCAGCTGTCCCTTGGGCACTGCGGTCACGCTCTCAGGTCACTAAGACCACCTCTAATCCAATTTCCTTTTCAGGTACCTCCAGCAGAACCCTCTCACGGTGTGGGCAACCGGGAAGTGATAACCGCCCTCATACCTCTAACAGCACTTAAGAACACTGTGTTCATAATCAACTTCCCTCTTCAATTCCTATTATTCCTCCTACATCGACTTTCTACAATAAACTTCCTCTTTCAGCTTCCTCTTCAAATGTCACCACAGCCAACGATTCTAGTGCTCAAAACACTCCCAGGTCTACTGAAACCTCGCTCCAAACTACACATTGGAGCCTTCAACGTACGCACACTATGTCCAATCGGTCAGCAGGCATCCTTGGCTAAAACCCTGGGATCTCGTACAATTGATGTATGCTGTGTCTCTGAAACACGCATGCAGGATCCTAGTGTGGTCATTCACTTGACCTCACCTCGGCAAAACCTAGTGCCGACGAGATACACCCGCCGTGTATCTGGCGACCCGACGGCTAGTTCTCGTGGACTGGCAGGTGTAGGCATAGCACTAAACATGAGGGCGGAACAAGCGTAAACAGTCGTCTATGCGCTGTTCGACTAAACGACTCCGTAAGAACTCGGAAGGATAGGGACACACGTCGTTGCCTTTTCGTCGTTTCTGCCTACGCTCCCACTGACTGCAGTTCGTATGAAGTGAGAGATGAATTTTACAGAAAGCTGTCTGAACTTCTTCAGAAAGCTAAACGTTCAGACATAGTACTCGTAGGAGGTGACTTTAATGCCCAGGTAGGTAGCTTAAACGAAACAGAAAGACATTTAGTTGGGTATTTTAGTATTCCGGCACAGCGAACAGATAATGGTGATCGTCTGCTGCAACTTTGCTCAGACAATCGTTTATTTTTAGCAAACACAAATTTTAAGCATAAGGAGGGACATCGTCTAACATGGCGACCCCCTGCACCAAACCAACGATGGACTCAAATACACCTTTTTGCCATCAGTCATCGTTGGAGAAGGTCAATAGAAGATTGTCGCTCATTCTGGAGTACCTGCTTGGACTCCGACAATGCCCTAATACGAGCACGCATCTGCTTGCGCCTCACTGGATGCAAAAAAACCACACAAAAAAGACTCATTAGAACCGAATTGAGTAATGAGAAAACAAAAAGTAGGTTCCAGGAACAACTGAGGTCCCACTTAGGTGGTTCTGAAAACGAGGCTGACCCAGATGTTGCTTGGAAAGTTATACATGAAGCTGTGGAAACAGCAGTGACATATACTAGTGATTTAACCCACAGGGTTACAAAGAACCAATGGATTTCTTCAAGGTCTATTGCACTGATGGATTCTCGCAAACTCATCCCATCAGGTTCTGAACACGATGAAGAGCGTAAACAAATCAGATCTAGGTTAAGCAAAAGTCTAAGGAACGACCATGAGCAGTGGTGGGCAACGAAAGCAAAAGAGATGGAAAAGGCGGCGGCTATAGGGAACACAAGACAACTCTACAGACTAATAAAAGAAACTGGAATTAATAAATCAAGTGTAAGTCAGACTATTTCGGAAAAAGACGACACTCTCATCTGCTCCCAGTCCAGACGCTTAGAACGATGGGCGGAACACTTTAAGGAGCAGTTTAGCTGGCCTTCAGCTACTCTACAACTACCCTCCATTCCCAGACAGTGTGAATGGAACATTGAAGTAAGTCCTCCAACTCTAGCTGAAGTTCGAAAGGCTATAGCTAATCTGAAACGAGGAAGGGCAGCTGGTCAAGATGGATTGGCCCCACAGGTCTTTAAGGATGGTGGTCTAGTTTTAGCGATTAGGTTGACTAATATTTTAGCTAAAATCTGGGAGTTAGACGTTATTCCATCTAACTGGTCACAATCACTTATCGTCCCAATATTTAAGAAAGGGTCAAAATCATCCTGTGACAACCACAGAGGGATTAGTTTGACCAATATAGTATCTAAAATACTAGACTCGATAATTTTCGGACGCCTAACTAAGACTCGTGAACTGCAAACACGTGAAAATCAGGCTGGCTTCAGACCTGGTCGTGGATGCATCGACCACATATTCACCATTCGTCAGGTTCTAGAAAACAGGCATACTTATCGGCGTCCGACAATGGTGGTCTTCCTTGACTTAAAAGCAGCGTTTGACTCTGTAGACCGAGAGGTTCTGTGGCAGTGTCTGTCATTGAAAGGCGTACCTCAGAAGTACATAAATCTTGTGAAGGCTCTTTACTCGAACACTAGTAATCGAGTCAGAGCTTATGGCGAACTGTCATCTGCGCTTCTCTCCCTCTAAATGCAAGTTGTTGCTTCAGGACTGGTCTGCGTCAACACCTGAACTAAGGATAGGGAGTGAAGTAATCGAACGCGTTGACAACTTCACTTATCTTGGAAGTCTGATCAGCCCTAATGGGTTGGTGTCTGACGAAATCTCAGCACGGGTTCGAAAAGCTCGTTTGGCCATTGCCAACTTACGTCATCTATGGCGAAGGCGAGATATCCGTCTATCAATTAAGGGACGAGTATACTGCGCGGCAGTTCTTTCCGTTCTACTATACGGCTGCGAAACATGGCTTTTAAGAGTAGAAGATACTCGTAAGTTACTAGTATTTGACCACAGGTGCCTTAGAAATATTGCTCGCATCTGCTGGGATCACCGGGTAAGTAATAGTGAGGTTAGACGCAGGGTACTAGGGAATGATGGTAAATCAGTTGATGAGGTTATGAATCTTCATCGACTGAGATGGTTGGGCCACGTGCTGCGTATGCCTGAACATCAATTACCACGGCGCGCAATGTTCACCGGTGTTAGGGATGATTGGAAGAAAGTTAGTAACCAATGGTTGGAGACTCTGTGTGACATGGCTCAGAATTGATCACAATGGCGTCGGTGTATACACTCTCTGTCTTCCTTTAAACTAAGAGATTAAAATCGCTTCATATCTTTCTTTCTAGGAACTAATTCTTTCTTCCTGTACTATCTCCTTATACACAATCTTTCTTTTATATATTACCATCACTGAATCAACTACTTCTATGAATCCGGTGTTCATCTTGTTGTGCTAATGCGGTATGACAACTTGGACCGATGCATATACGTGCCTGGTCCTACGTTGCAGCTGACTGACTGAGCTAACATATGACATATTGAGAAAATAAAGCTAAGTGACATCAACCGTAAATTACTGGGAGAACTTCTAACAAATTTCATATCAATTACCAATGAAAGCAATCGTTAACATTAGTCGATTACTATCAATAACAAGTCATAAAGTTCCTACTCTGGCCACCGAACATTTAATTGGTGTCCTTAGTGTTAAATGACATTCGCTCGTATTTATGATCCTTACAATTTTTAACGGAATATTTTCTACTTTATTACAATCAATTTTCGAACTGTCAGACCTAATCAAACAATACTTCAAACGGACGCATGGCTTATAGAAAAATCGCAATGTTTTCAACATCCGAATATTAATGCAATTTCCACTTTTCATTTTAATGACTTCTTCACCTTCAATCACTAAATGGAGAATATTCAGCAATACCACAAACTAGCCAAGTGGCTCAAGTATCATGTGAATTACGTTCAAATTTAATTGGTCAATTGTAAATTATGACTAGTGGTTAATTTATGTTGAAGGTATGGTATTTTGGTAGAATTCAATATCCATGACGTTATCTTACCTGAGTCCATTAATTTGATATCGTTTTATATTGGTGACCGACAGTATTAATCAGGATTAAACCAAGCACTTGTTAATTACTAGATTGTTAATTTATGGTCTTCATCTTTTATATAACGAATTATACAGCTGATGTGAAATTTGTGTTTGTTACCAAAAGAATATGTTAATATAACGAGGTTTATTAGTTATTAAGTTTATTGAAATCATAAAAACAAAAACTAACAATCAAACAAATAAAGATACATATAATACAATAAACTTACAAACTTCCTCTGATGATTTAACGACTTGTGAAACAATATCATTATTTACACTACTTGATACAGTTGTTATAAATTGGGAAACGTTATCATTCACTGATTCATTTTTTAAAACAGATCCCTGTAATCTATGAACAAAATTTAATGTATCCTCAAGCGAAGGACCATCGATTGTTGGTGCAAAAATGAAATGAGCAGAGATTAATTCTTTTATACTGGAATTAACTTCACATTCTGAATTTTTTGTTGATAAATATGTGTATACTTCATCGACGTTATGTAGACGAGTACCATCAGACCTATTATGATGCATAAAATACTGTTTTTAAAAATGTAAACGATAGATAAAGTGGATGAATGACACACTGGACAAGTTTGAATCTTTGTGAATATATTATCCATGTACACTAATTATATTTCATCTTTAATTCTATAGAATTGAAAAGATTTAATGTAGTTTACACATTTAACCACAATATTTAAAAACAAATAACCAGGTGTTATTGTGGAAAATTAAATGACTGCACAATGTTTTCATAATGAGTATCAATTTTCATATATATTGAAGCGAAATTCTGGTGAGTTATAACAGTGATAAACTCTTTAATCTATCCTCATAGTGGCATCGATTTAATAAAAAAATATGGTTCGAGTTTAAATTAGATTTTGTAATTTAAAGTAGTTTATAGTTCACATAATTTCTTCATTCATGAATATGGAGGTTGAACGACGGTAATTTACATGAATAACCACTTGGATCAGTCAAACAGAAGTACTTACTAATCCCACAGTCAAAGGGATTTAAATTAAGTCTAGAAATGAAACGTTCTGTGTTTAGTCTGATCTAAAGGTTGATTAAGATCTTTACTGAGTTTTATTTTGCTAAATCTCAATAACGGAGTTCAGGAAAACATGTGTAAGACTCCATTTTGAATTTATGTTCATCAACCATCTTAACGCGCGATGATAGCTGGTGTACCAGTAAGTGGGAAGAAAGTTAGAGGAGGGCAGAATAGGATAGCATCAACTCATGAAAACAAGGACTATTGGGCTGAACCATGTAGGTAGATGCAAACTGTCTAGTTGGGGTCTGTTTTATTGACGTAACCAATAATTAGATGCACTGGGTGATATGGCTTAAAATAGTTTGCAATGGTTTAGCTGTATTCACTCTTTTCCTTCCCCTACAATTTATGTTCCCTCAAATCATTTCTTTGATGCTTAATCTTTTTTATTACCATTAGTACTGTTACTGCCTTCGCTAATCTGGGACTCAACCTGACAACTTCATCTTGCTGTACTAATGAAGTATGACAGCTTGAAATGTGGTATATATGTGCCAAGTTCTACGTTACGTATGACTGAATGACTGATACAAAGAAGGGTAATTATAAGATTTACTTAAATTGAAAATCAAATACTGAAAAAGTATCCACAGACTCAGTTGCATATTCATTTGGAAGTAGGTGTGATAATTAAAAGTTGTTTCTTTCAAGCTTCAACAGCGGTAGTTTTACGTAAACCTTCTGTTTGGACACTATCGTACTTGCGATCATACGAAATAAACTAAGACCGTATGTACAATAGGTAAACCAATCATAATCACATTCTGAACACAACTTTCAGTCAACAAAAATAGAATACTTAAATTCAAAGAAATACTTCCCTGTCAATACAATAAGATGATGACTTAACAGAGTTGTATAAAAATATATTGAGTCCTCTTGAACATGAATTAAAAACGTACAGTTTTAAAAAATTAACGAAACAGGCTAGGCTCATAAGCACAAAAGAGTGAAGTAGCATTGGAATTTAAATGATCATCTTTGACAAGAAAAGTAGTTAATTTAAGTAGCCACACAATTAAAAAAGATGCCATAAACAGTTATTGTAAGGAAATTCGTTTGTGCTGATTGCCTCAGAATGTTTGGGTCTATATTTTAAATCTACTTGTAAACTGTAAAAAGACACTGAAACTAGCAATTATATATCAATCCAAATTCTTTTTGAACTGTTTACTTAAATCCTTAGAACAGTGCGCTGCAGTCGGGCCAAATATATAGGTAACGAGAATGTTTTAATCAACATAATTACTTTACGTTCAAGATATTTACATAAATCATATACATCATCGTTATATAAAGCATGTTGACCTATCCTAGTGCTAGCTAGACATTCACATAAGCAGATAAGGTCAATGTACAAGAAATTTATCTGAATGGTCATTACGAAAAGTCCAGAAAGTACTGATCTACGAGGTAGTTGTGTATTAAATGACGTATTTTATGGTACCCTAACGGCACCAGGATCAGTATAGTGGTCTTAATTATAGACGTTGAAATACTGAGATACTCAAATTTTCATCTTATATGTTGAACTCAATTCACTGATGAGAAATCTTGAAACAAGTTGAATATTTACTACAAAGTACAGTAGCATTCCACTTACTTTGCACTACACTTCACGGACTGATTTATGCTAGGCGATTCCGCAGTAATTTCCAAGTGTAAAATACGCAGAGATGAAACATTCGACTTTTAAGCTTAGTGGACACTACGTTATTTTTAGATCACTAGGTTGACATTCCGTGATTTTTATCTTCAAATTCAGCTATTTCTCGACCATTTATATAAACAATGCACTGAATCCTTCATTAGAGACCCTATACACAGTTAGCAATCTTTACAACCTTTCATTGTAAAAACTTCCTTTTCTGCTTAACATCATCAAGAAAATTATTTAAAATAAATTCCAATAACTTTGTTATGTAGTTATTCGACAAAATTTTCACGTCACACCATCTCTAAGTTTTTGTTATAATAACGAATTTGACTTGATATAAAATATGACCTTATATTAAGATTATTGATATTTCATATTTATGATAGGTGGTAAAAACCATACGGATTTATTCTGCAATGGTGTGTAATCTTAAGATACAAACTATGAAGAGGAAAATGATGACAACACTTACGTTATGTACACTACATTTTGTGCTTTCCTATTCACTAGACGAGTCCACCCTTTATGAGATTCTTCATAATTAGCTTCTGATGAAATAAGTGATGATCCAGAAGAAGGGACTGATAATAAATTAGATGATGAAATATAATTTGATTCAGTATCGACAAAAGTAGACAGTGTATTCGAAGTTGTTGATATTGTGACAGTAGACAAATGGTTTAATCCCCGAGGTCTTTTAGAATGACGTGATCGGTTATAAGAGTTTGTGGCTAAGTAAGCTTCAGCAGCTCTGGAAATCGGTTGATGACAAGCCAATGCAGCTGCATGTGCTGCAGCAGCATAAGAAGCTACAATACGATCAGGGGGACTTTCTTCTTTAATTTTTGTATTACTAGAATGAATTTCATTGCTTCTTTGAATCAAATCACGACTACTCTGAAAAGGTACAGAAAAAAGATATGAATTAAATAAAATAACAAACACTAGAAAGACATTATTCACAAACAAATTAAGCGAGCAAAGCACGAAGCGCTAACAGTGCTAACAACCAGTACTGAATCGACGCACTAGTTTTTTTTAAAAATTAAAAAAACAGTAACACAAAAGCAAAGTCACCACAATGTGCAAATGCAAATGCTACATAAACACATAGATATGTAGAAGTAAATACGGACGAACATGAATGCAACCATAAAAATTACATGACGAAAAGCACGGGCTAAATTGTTTTACTATGCTCTCAAATATATATATATATATATATATATATATATATATATATATATATATATATATATATATATATATATATATATATATATATATATATATATATATATATATATATATATATATATGAGATATCACAAAAACCAATAAATAAACAGTGGATGATCATTCATTTACATGAATAGGACTCCACAGTAAAAAAAGATAATTATGATTCAAAAAAACAGAGTTGTGAGTGCTAGGTTGTTTTATTTATGATTACCATTGACCAGTAGAGGCGCAGATGAATCGATTCGAATGTGAATCAGCCGTTGAACTGAAACAAGTGTAAGAAAGCAATAAAAAGAGCACCAACGAAAAAAAATAATAAAACGCTGTAAACAAGACAGTGATGAAACGAAACGAACGAATTTTGATTGGAAATACCCTTTTAAACTATGAATCTATGTTGAAAATTCGGTAAAAATTAAGTATTCTTAATCATCGTAAGCTCCTCATAACAATTATTTCTCTGCACTGAATGGTTTACACCAAGCAAACTATAATCTGTACAAATTGATGAAAGCACATATTAAATTTAAAGCATACGTAGTACAGCAAACAACATTCCATCAGACAGTACAGTTGCTCAACATTCAAAAACATGAATAAACTAGTGAGATTAAAAGAACAGAAAACCAAGGGATATTGCTATAAGAACCTTACATGATTACCCACCACAAAGGATTACTAGATGCCCAGATAAACCTAGACCGCAAATCTACGTCGACAAGTGAATCATAACGAACGCATACTACATTACAAGAGGATAGAAACACTAACACAGCTGGGCGATTGAAGGTCATTTTACAATTTTAACCAGAATTTTGATCAGAGTTTTGTTACCTACAATTACTAACTCAAAAAATCTATAAATACCACGGTCGGACTTGAGAGTTTCAAATAAATTGAGCATTGGTTAAAAAGTTAATGAGAAATATTTTTTTGTCATATCCCAATTGTATTTCCGACGATTTGTGGCTCAATGTTAGCCACTTCTTCGGATACAGAGTGTAGTTTAACATGACCAATTCGGAGACGAGGTCCCACAAGCATAAAGCAAAACTGCTTTCACTGGAGCGTTGTAGATCCGACCTTTTACAGCCAGGCTAAAATCACGAAGGCGACAAAGATGGCCCAGATCGGCATAAGCCGCTCTGGCTCTCACTATACGTGAATTGATCTCATCACTCAAAATCTTCTTGTAATAATTATAGAGGGATTAGTTTGACTAATATCGCATCTGAAATACTAGCCTCAATGGTTATCGGACGCCTAACAAAGATTCGTGAACTGCAAACACGAGAAAATCAGACTTGCTTCAGACGTGGTCGTGGCTGCACTGACCACATCATTCGTCAGGTTTTAGAACACAGGCATGCTTATCGGCGTCCAACAATTAGTTTTTATTGACTTATACTGCGCAGCAGTTCGTTCTGTTTTACTCTACGGCTGCGAAACACGGCCATTGAGAGTAGAAGATACTTGTGAGTTACTAGCATTTGATCACACAGATCATGTGTGATTATTTAGACCGATGCATATACGTGTCTGGTCCTACGTTGTAGCTGACTGACTAACCATTGCCTACATCCATTGGAGCTGTTTCCAGAACATCATGGATGGAAAAGTTGGAGAGGAATGGTGAGGTCGGGCAACCTTGCCTAACCCCACTGATTGAGTGAAACAATGGAGAGAGGTGGTTGTATGCCCTTACTCTGCCTCAGGTATATAAGGCATTCAAAATGTTAATAGTTTTCGGACACACCCTTTTTCAATAAACGATCCCGAAGAACAGTCATGTCCAATGAATCGAAGGCAGCCTTAATGCCAAGAAACACTACGATTGTTGGCAAGTGATAAGTATGACGGTGCTCTAAGATTTTGCAGATGGTTGGCGAAGTGAATCCGAACAGTAAAACAAATTACTGTATTGGTTGATTAACCAACGCACAGGCTGATAAAACCAATACACTGAAACATAATTACTTTATACAACGGATTGAGATCATGAATCGATTGATCTTAGATCACCATTGAAAACCTGGAAGCACCGGATGGCCATTTCGCCCTAGTATGTGACTCCTCAGCAGCACCAATCTACGACCCCACACGCCAGATTCCAACTCAGGACCTTTGGTCACGCTCGAACGCTTAGCCTCTAGACCACTGAGCCGTCACTCAACGGTGGTGGTCTAACATCAATAGATTCACTGTCTCAACCAAAAGCTTAAAAATCTTCACAACCCCATACTGATAATTACCATGTGCTTACTAGTGACTAGCTTTGTGAGAGAATTCTCGTAGTTCTAGCGAGAAGCCATGACTATTGGAACTAATCCGTGCCAGGTAGAGACAGGCAGTTACCTCAGACAATGAATAATGCTCGTGCAATTTCGTGAACTGGTTGACGTTAGACATTAACACCGTTGGATGAGTTCGCGCGCGAACAAAGATCCTAAGTTCAAATCCTACGTATGGGGTCGTGGGCGGGCACTGCTGAGGAGTCACATACCAGGACGAAACGGCCATCCAGTGCTTCCAGGTTTTCAATGGTGGTCTAACATCAATCAATTCATGAAATCAATCAAGAACTTAACAATCTCCACAACCCCATACTGAAGATATAAAATGCTATCAATTGATTTCTTAAAACAAATTACGTACTTAACCCACCAAACCAAAATTACATGCTACAAAACAGGTAGGGTCTAACAAACAACAAAGTGCCACACACCAAGACGGAACACCATATATAAATTATTGAGTTAGACAATAAAACTCAGAATAGTAATGACAAAGCAGGAACTCAAATATCTCAGTGCTGAACATTCACAACATGCACAGTAGATTTACAACATTCACTACTCAATAGTACGGTACAAATACTTAATACGAATGAAATAACCAATATCAAAAGATTAAAAAAACTATCGAGACAACATTCCCGACAGCAGGTTAGATGCAATCAGTGAGTCAGTTATGATCAAACCACGACTAGGGACAAATATGTACCGCTGCAAGTTGTTATACTTCGCATTAGCACAGCGACACTAAATTAACAAGTTGAAAAGCAATTGCGGAAATAGTGATATTTGTGGCAATAAAAAACCAAGCACACAGAACATCATTAGAAAAAGGAAGTCAAATAGTAAAGTAATAAATAATACGCAGAATAGACGCCTATGAATAAATATCGGGCCAATACATCTCCATTAGTGTGACTGATTTTTAGATACATCATCTTAGGTCCTCGACTGTCAATTAAGGATTATTATCCAGTTAAATAACGAAGTTCGCACTATTCCGCATGATTCAGTTCAGTAGTTAGTGACATCATGGAGTGATGGTATTTATCTACATGTCTAAATCCTTAGTTTATTCCAAAACTAGTCAGTATAGGGTGTTAGAGTAGGCAATGGATGGGTATGCGCGACACTAATCTAAGCCACCTCAACAAACTAGCGTCTACTTCCCATATACATGTTTGTCTGTTGGCATTGCCAAACATCAAGCGTAGCACTATTCACTCCAGTTTCATTAAATGAGATATCTCAAATACACCAACGACCAGACACTTAGAGCATTCCCACACTTTGACAAACATTCACGACCACAAAGTTGTGAGAACCGAACTGAGCATGATGTTCTTTCTGACTGGCTGACTTTAGTACGCAGGGCATCTTATCTGACATACATGTGTCACAATCCGGACAACGTTACGAGACTTATTTGCTTGCGGACTAATGGACTTCAAAGGAAAAGTTACTAATTTCATGTTCACAATATCAAGGCTGCTCAAACAGGTAGTAGTTACATCAGCATTATTTTTAGGTCTAATGGCTATAATCAGTAACACGTGTGGTCTAACAAAAACATAAGGTGCAATTTTAGCATAATTCTGTTGAATCTGATAATTCTTGGTAATTCTGATAAGTCAGTAGAAAACAACTAGATCACGTCTTGAAAGTAATTTACTCGGAGTTATTGTAAACCAATGTATTCCTACAGCACATCTTGAGGTCAGTTAATTTGAAACTTTTGATTAAATATTGGTAGGTAATGAGTGTATTCTACTATGATCCTCTAAATTTCGATATGCGAATGTCTTTGATCAATAACTATAAGGAACCCCGAAATACAAGCATCCCAATCAACATACAAGTGTATCACAAAATAATAGGGTTGGTAATTAGGAATATGCATTCGGAATACATGAGCAACCCATCATACCTTATACAGGGAAACTAAAACGACGAGCATTGTTGTCCTGTCTCCTTTCGGTCACTATTTTCAGATTAGTACCTCAAACTATCCTACAGAATACCTACATAAAGTCTAAATAACACATAACACAAGGCCCCACCAGTAATGATACAGCTTAATTAAAATATGCAAAGGATAATTGGATTGAGTTGCAAAAATACTTACAGCACTTGTGTACATAACTGGACCACGAACAATCGTGTGAACAGATGGATCAGATGAACCAGAATCAATAACTGAGTGGGCCGTTTGGGTCACTGAGGCAGGATAACACAAAACTGGGTTTGGGCACCCTGCAGATGCATAAGAAACTGAAGGTACTACGCCAACCCCGAGATTAAGAGGAGGAATAATATTTGCGGTATTTATGATAGGTAAATTAAGTCCCAAACATAGGTTCCTAACAAAAGGAGTGTGTCCTGCGAAAGGGAGACCGGAAGGTGAACCATCAATACCTTGCACGGTCAGTCCTCCGGGATTAAGAGGAGAGGCACTAAGCAAGGTATGTGGGATAGATAAGAAGCAAGAGAGACTATCAACAGTCCCACTGGGGAAACGAATCATTGGCGTATTTTTCGGCTACGCAATAAAACAGAAATCTCCGCCACCTCCAAGCCTCGAACATCTGCGCTACACTGTTGCGTTCATAGATGACGGTCCCAGATGCCCGCGAACTCTTAAACTGCAGTCTATGATGCAAACTAAACTTTCATGTGTAACACTCATACAATGATTATTTGATAAAAAGTTCAATGGTGCTGTACATAAACGATTATTGAATATTGAAATCTTGTAGAAGTCATCAGCCAAACAGAAGATCGATTGCCTTTGTTAGTTTCTTACGATGCTTCTGCGTATATCTAGTCTCCTCCTGAGTAAGTCAATAATGGACGAAAACTTTGCTCGCTTCATAACCAACAAACATAGAGAGTGCATACTTGCCAGCTAACTGAAAATGATTTTTAGCGGTGTAGTGGTAAATAAATCCCCAAAATAAATAGCTCCGTAAGTTTTTGACATTGGAAGCTGACCACATTAGTTTTAATGGACTCGTATAGCTGAAGGCACTCGGTCACGCATTCGCACCAGATCACGTGTGGGAACGCCGTGCTCAACATCTACTGCAATCGCTAGCCAGATTAGATCAGACGATCCTCGATATATTGAAAGTCTACCAAATATATCTTCGAACCTCCTCGCTTCTGTCTGAAAATTTCACTTGGTGGATACGATTCATATTTGGTGTTACTGTTTAAAGCGTTGTCAATCTCCGAATACCTGTGGCATCTTCAGCGGTATCAGAAACCGTCGCGTAACCCATAATCCATGTTGCTTTTCAGACTCATACGAGCAGTCGACATTCCATGTAACTGGTTATTCTAGCATTACGTGACTTCAGGTATCAGTCAGCACCGACTATGAGCATAAAACATATCTCTCTCGTTTCACTCGGTAAAAGTTTACTGATTTGCTCAATAATGTAACATCATCAGTGCTCATTCTGTCGTTTTATCACACGCAAGAATTGTTTGGAAGTAGTCTGTGACCAAAACATGAAACCTGCTCTATTTGCATAGACCACGTTCCGCAACAAAAAGAAAATACTTTTGCCACAAACGACCTAAGCTGATAACAACCATCTGAGCTTTATTAATCCACTCCAAGATTACATCAGACATCCACTCACTGTAGCTGATAAGTCGTTCAAAATATGTGAAACTGTTGGTAACCTCAAGTACTTAACTTCTCACTATCAGTCTTTGCGTTGATCCCTGAATTTAAAAAGGAGAGAATTGTACTCCTTAGATGTTTTCACAGTTGCTCAGATCGATCTAAACACGGCATTTCATCAGAGTCTTCCAAAAAACGGAACCATGTCAAGAAGTGAATGTCACGGTGGAATATAATTTTTGAAATGTAATGTAATGTCGAGTGAACAATCTAGCGGGACACCTGTAAGATTTAAGGTTATGACTGTCAACATTGGGCCTATTTATGTTGCTAAAAAAAATCAATTTTCGGTTTCGTGAATAAAATGCCAACTGTGACAAATATTATGGACCCGAAAGAAATAACAATGAACACGAAGTATTGCAATCAATTCCTTGATGTTCATGATGTTGACTTTATCATTTGATCGATTCAATAAAATTCCATGAATTCAGATGAATACATGTCTGAGGAGCAATCAGCTTAAAACTATAGAATTTTTACAGCTTGAACTCATCGTTAGCTTCAGGAATATTGTCTTTATTGTTTGGCTGCGGAAATTGAAAATCGTGAATTAGGCAGGCAGTGGTTAGAATGATTGGTATTAAGGGATAGTCCATAGCTTAAACAGAGTAAGATATTAGGTATGAAAACCAAATAAAGAATTAAATCAGGATAGCTTTCAAATCTTTGCTTACATTAGTTGCTAGATAAAATGTATTTACATAGATTCACTGCCACATTTGCTAGTGGTTGGTGTTTCAACAAAGCTTGTAAATAGGCCATCAATGCAAATCAGATGGGCAATTATTAGCATTGGTTGAGCTGGTAAGCTATGAACACTAATCAATATTACAACACGATAATACACGTGAGAGATAATCAACAGACAAATAAAGAAATTGATTAGCTCAAGCAAAAATCAATCGTATAAGTTAAAGTGAAACATGAGAAATAATAACAGGTCACGTTTCTTTAGTAAGTCTCATCGATGTTCGATTATGGTCTAGTTCGATATTAGTACTACTATAATAGTAAACTTAATCGCCAAATTGTTTATACGTCACAGCGTGACTACCAAATCTATAAGGCCTCACGTGTAAGTCACATCATTGCCTAGACGGACTTGTCCTGTCCTAACGATCAACAATATGACATGTACTGAGTTTTCCATCCGCTTCAGCAACACTGGTTAAAATACTTCCTGGTGCTGACAGTAGTTTGATGCCCCTGTAGTTCTCACATTTGCTCAGATCTCCTTTGTTTGGAATCTTGATGAAGTGTCCTTCTTTCCAGTTCATCGGCACTTGTTCCTTCTCTCAAATCTTCTTGGATAGAAGATGAAGCATAATCGTGGTTACTTCGATGACTTCAGTGCCGCAGCTGGTATATTGTCGGGCTTTGCTGCTTTCGCACTCTTGATTTGTCTGATGGCCATCCTGATTTCGTCGATCGTTGGTGAAGTGACATTTACGGGAAGGTCTATGTGTGCTGATTCGATGTACGGTGGATTCAGTGGAGCTGGCCTATTCAAGAGTTCCTCGAAATGTTCCACCTATCTGTTCTTGTGCTCTTGGATCTTAGTGATTGACATGCTTTCTCTGTCCTTGACTGGTCTATCTGGCTTACTATATATTCCTGCTAGTTTCTTCGTTGCGTCATATAGTTGTCTGAAATTTCTTTCCACGCATTTCTGCTTATCTGTTCTTCTTCACTTGCTTGTTTGCTTCTATGTACTCAGCTTGTGATTGGACTTTCTCTGCTCGTGTTAGGCTGTTGTTAATTGCTGTCTTCTTGTTCTTCATTTCTTTGGTCTTGTCCAGTGTTTCTATAGAGATCCATTTTTTATGATGATGCTTCTTGGGGCCCAGAACCTCTTGACACGTTGAAGTTAATGCTTCTTTGATACCTTTCCAGTTGTCCTCCATAGTAGTTTCTTCTTCCTTCAGTAGATCCTGTAAGGCTTGGAACCTGTTGTTGAGATCTATCTTGAATTCGTTAAATTTGTCAATATCTCGAAGGAAGGCTGTATTGAACCTTTGTAGTGCTGTTTGTCCAGATCTTCTTTAGCTTCAGTTTTAAGTTGGCCCCAACTAGGTGGAGATGTGAAGCTATGTAAGCTCCTCTTCTGGTTCTCACGTCTTACATAGTCCTATTGAGTTTTTATTGATATAAATATGGTCGATCTGGTTCTCTGTGAGGTGATCTGGTTAGATCCACGTAGCTTAGTGTGTGCATTTGTGTGGAACTATTGTGCCGCCCATAATCAATATGCTGAATGCACCTAGGTTCGCAAATCTCTCACCATTTTTGTTTCCCTCTCCCAGTCCATGTCGTCCCATGATACCTTCATAACCGTTGTTGTGCATCCCGACTATGTCGTTTAGGTATCCCATCACGATGATGAAGTCTTTTCCTGGACACTTCGCTATAATCGATTGAAGCCTCTCATAAAACTGATCTTTATTGTCGTCGTTGATATTTTTGGTGGGTGCATAACATTGGACAATACTCATTGTGATTCCCTTCTTTGTTTTGAATAATGCACTGAAGATTCTGGGTTCATGAGATGCTCGTCCTATAAGTGTTCGCGTGATTCTTTGGACAGCATCAGAGCAACTCCCTGAGTGTATGGAGCATTCCCCTCTTCGTGACCGAGTATAGCAGCACCTCTTATGTATCTAGCCTTTGGTGTCCAGCTTAGGTCTAATTGGTGTCGCCGGTTCCGAGTTTTGGCAAGTTTTATCTTCTCATTTCCGTATCTGTTTGACTGGTTCTCTCAGTCTACCACATGGCGTGGACATTTAATATACTTATATTGAATCAGTTTCTGGTTTTTAGGAGCGTCTGTCCTGTGTTTTCCGAAGAATCCCTGTCTCTCCAACTTTTTCTGGGCTTTATACCGGCAGCAACTCTAAAAGTGCTACAGGTGGATAGGATATGATTAGTATAAGCACCCGCTGCAATCGGATGAAGAATCTTGACGGTAACCTCCCATTTTGAAACGCCTGAATAAACTAATGAGGTAAGAATCAATCGGTATTCATTACACATATATTATTATTATCAGGGTTGAACCCTTTCACTAGATGGTCATTGAATTTGTATACTCTGCAAAAACCAGATTTTTTAGCAGCTGATAGGTCTTTTGTCGGTGAACACCAGTAAATAAACTGTGAATTTGTCCTCTTTAATACCCTTTACAGTCTTCGTAGAAGCGACAGGTTCATGGTCGAATGAATATAGTGATACTTCACAGAAAACTTTTTGAATGGATTGTGATCAATGCTACTTTGCACGATATTATTCTAAAGGGCTGAAACCATTTTGGAAGAGCGGGGTTCGGATTATTCCTATATTTTAACTCAAGCAAACACACTAATTACTACACCCCTCAAATCCAATGTTAGACCTTACCGCATTAACCAATGATAAACCGGGAAATCACAGTACGTTAGTCAAAACTTAGCATTGTAAGACTAAAGTAGGACAAAAAATCTTCTAACGTAAATTGTAATTCATTTGGAGGAGGCCGTCAATTGAATTCCGTGAAACAGACACCATAAACCACTGTATTCATGGCATAGACAGAATCGTAAACGACTACAAGACCCTAGAAATGCTAGAATTGTACTCAAATCCTAGCACGTTTTAAGATTTACTTGGCCTGTACAATGCGTAAAATAACATTACGTAACTTTTATTTACTAATTCACGACCACTGATCTCCTCCTTTAAAAAATCTTTCTAAGAACGGATATTTGACTCACACTTTGCCCGCAAACTACCTGAAATATCACATAACATAACTTAGGTAATCGATTTATTAGTATCAGGAGGGCAGGATAAGTAAGCAAATATATATTACAGTGACGAACTTATCAAAACAAAATGACTACTTGCTTACTCGCGCCTGTTACTCCTCATGGAGGGGAACAGGTCACCCACCAACATTCAACCCTGTCACGGACAATCCCCTCCAATCCTTTCTGGCTACTACGGGTCCTTTTCATGTTTTTCTTCCGATTCCCGACGTCAAGTGTTCTTCGGTCTTCATTTTTTCAGTTTCCTTTTGGGATTCCAAGTGGGCGCTTGTCTCGTCATGTAGTTTGGTGATTTCTCTATGCTTGTCAAATCCACTTCCAAAGTCTCTTCCCGATTTCCTGTTCAGTTGGAACCTGGTTTGCTCTCTCACACAGCAAACTGTTACTGATGGTATCTCGCGTAGACAACTATTTATAGATACTTGTACTGTTTTGATGATGGTTGCGGTAGTTCTTGAATTTTCAGCTTCGTATAATAGAATTTAAATAAAGCAAGAACAAATATTGATGCAGAATAGTATGAATTCATAATATTTCGATTATTCTCGTCAGCTGCTTACAACCAAATATTTGATAAAATTTTTTTCATTGAGATAGTGTAAAACAGTTGGCATAAATGAATGTAAATAACCGGAATGACAAAGATTTACAATAATAACTATATACATATGCTAGAACAGGTCAGAGTTTAATTGGTGTTAAAATTAAGGAAACAATTAAAGATGGGTGATGTAATAGTTGAATGGAGTTTATACATTGTGTGATAATTATTTTAGAGGTAATAGAACAGTGATAAGATAGGTTACGTAATAACTGAATAGAATTTGAAAGGTTAACATAATTTCGGAATATTAGTGGGCGGAAATGTGTGAATGAAAAGTTGGTTTAAGTATTAGACAATGGAGGGGAGGATATTACTCAAAATAAATATTTTAAAAATAAATCAGTGAATAAAACAACACAAAAAAAACAAAAATGGATTGCCAGGGTAATATATATATATATATATATATATGTATATTAGAACTGTCTTGATCGGATTAAGGATTCCCACTTTGATGTTGGTTGGCAGTTGTTTTTAGTTCCGTATGTTCTTCATTTGTATGAATGCGTCCCTTGCTTCTACATCCTCGCCTTTACGTTTGCAACTGAACCTCCTTGTGCATCGATGATCCTTCCCAGGTACATCTTCCAGAACTTCTCTACCAAGTGTGATAATTTGTGTTCTCTGTGTTATATTTGAGGACCTTGCTTTTTCTCATTTGTATGTTGAGGCATACTGATGAGGAGGCTTATGCTACACTGTTTGTTTTAATTTTCATCTGGAAAATGAAGATTTTAGGTTAGGCGAGGAATGGAAATTTTACTACAGGCCGAACTGAGAGCCTGGAATATGTGAAGAAATCTGGTCGCAGATTTTACTTGACACTGAGGGACAGAGGCAAAGCCAAATTTCACAGACATAGATGTTTTAACGCCAAGTTGTCAAAATGCAAGCTAACTTCAACTATCTCTACAGAATCATGAAAACGAGAGAGACCTTAAACAAAGAGACCTGCATTATTGAAGAGTGGAATACCGAAGACATCATTAACTTAGAAATGACAGAGCCCTTCGGTGCTAACTTCGTAGACCAACTAAACCAAACATGGAACACCTCTTAACTGTAGTGCTACTTGAGAAGCTGGTTTACACAAGCTCGTGACATATATTGATAATTGGCTATATGACCTTAGTTGTGTTTAGTCTATTTTTCAAATAACGTCAGCGGTTAATGTGGTTAAAAACTAACATCAATCTCGCAGAAAACAGAACGATGGATGAACTATTTAGATAAACGGTCTAGAATATGGGATGTTCTCAATCTATCAGTGTTAGAGAAATAGTCGATTGTGAAGAAAAGCGAAATTCAGGTAAATTTTACCATCAAATATTTGAACATATGTTTCCACGTCTAAAACTTTGGAGGGTTCATAAACATCACAAAACAGTTTTGGTGATCAATGGAGTGATGACTGAAGGTTTATTTGATTTTTTGAGCCTAGATAAGACGGAAAGTATCTAAAATGTCTTATCACGATCTCTATTTCGGGAAAAATTTGACCCGTTTTGGGAAAATTTTGAGAAAATTGCTATCGAAAATTTTAAGAAAACTAGTAGAAAATGGCACTTGAACTTCAAAACTTTCTTAGAACTTGGGAATTTACTAAAATTTCTCCTAAACCTTTAGCGATTCCCCAAATTTTTGGATGTTTCTACAAACCTTGGGAAAGGTCATTTGACTTTAATTATTTCTGCAAAATTATATAAATTTTTCTCTAATTTGAGAGATGTATCTCTCCCCATGGGGATACTACTTTCGTGATCAACTAACAAAATATTCTAGAACCAAATAATAAACTTGGAACCTGCTAAGGGAAACCTTTAACAATTTAAGCTAATGACATTCATGTCACTCAAAGCCTTATCTTAGTCTTCAGAAGCTCTTTAAGTGTATATTTATCACTGTACATTTCAACGATGTGTTGTTAGACAGCGCCCAAAATATGGTAATAATAAGAGTTGCGAAAAATTGATCAAAGTAGACGACTTTAAATGCACCCTACCATGTTTTTACATTCGTTCTGTAAATCTTCACTCTTTAGTAACAAGGATAAGAGTTCTATCAACTAATTTTAATCCTTGCTGTTTGCGACACTGTGAAAATCCAATCTCGTTTTAAATATATCAACAGAAGGTGCTGGTATTACGTGTTCTGGTTGGGAATTCCAGTGATTCACTACTCATTGCAAGAAACAAAGCTTCAGGCGTGGACGATTTGATCTCGGTTTTTGAACTTTCTTCGAATGTTCTTTAAACAATAAGTCCTAGACGGAAGAACATTATAAAACATTAGTACCAAGGCCATCGTTTAGTATACGATAAGCCAATATCAGATAACTCCGTAATCTGCGGTAAGACAATGGAAATAATTTGAAGTGTCTCAATCTCTCTTCATAAGATAAACGAGAGGGACTTTTTACCATTTCACTTCCTTGACTTTGGACTTATTCCAGTATATCCGCCTCATACTTGAAACAAGGACTCGGTGCTTGAATCCAATATTCCACATGCGGTTTCACGTAAGTCGGGTATAGTACTTCAAAATGTTCTTTGCCAAGTACTAAAAGGACCTATGAATAGCCCATGATACCTTAAAGCCTTTGGCAGACTTGAAATTGCTCGTAGTTTTGGGGTCGTTTCTTATTACGACTCCTAATTCTTTATGGTCCAAATCCTGAAAAGACCTAGTTTGTAATTCATTTACATAAAGTAAAAAAAGAAGAAGACGTGCCTTGGGGAGCTCCACTTTTTACAGGGCTCCCACAATGAGAGAGCTCCAATTAACCTTACCCCTTGTCTCCTGTCAAGGAGAAAGTTGCTTATCCAGTCTTTGACCTTTTAATGTATTCCAAAACTTTCCAGTTCTAATGAAAGACACAAATGAGAGACCTTATCAAAGGCTTTACTCAGGTCTATGAAAAACACATCTACAGGAATATTTCTATCTTTAACTGCGGCCCAATCTTCTCTTGCAATGAGCAGATTTGTCAAACATGTTATGCCTCCCCAAAGATCGTGTTGTTCCCTAGATAAAAGATTATGCCCTTCTACAAAGTTTGTAACGGTCATCCGAATAATCTCCATTAGTTTGATGACTGCAATGGTTAGACCAACGGGTCGATAGTTACTAACTAGATTTCTACTCCCTACCTTATACACCGGACTTGTTATTGTATCTTTCCAGTCTCTTGGCAGTCTGAACTGCCGCAGAGACATATCGAACAGCGTGGCTATAAGTCCAGCGATTACATTCGACAAGGGCTTTCATAATTCTCTAATGAATATCGTCAGAACTAGTGGGCTTGTCATGTTTCAGATGTTGAAGTAGTCTTAAGACGGTATATTTCTCAATAACTACAAGATTTATCGACAAGCCGCCACAATCAAGATCAACCATTGGTCGTTCTTTATTGCTGATAGAAAACACTTCACTAATATATTCCGATGAAACTCCAGCTTTTTCGACATTATCTCTTGTCAATATTAACGGATTTGTTTTTACCAAAAAGATGGGATTTCATCACCTCTTTGAGTTCGCCTTTTTATATTCGAGAATAAGCGTTTTGGACTATTTTTACAATGCCTAACCAATTGCGTTTTCAAATGACTGTCTAGTCTTAATAATCAACGCTTTACAAGCATTTTTAGTCTTACAATAACTGGATCTGTACTGTTATAGGCCAGTAGAGATGAATATACTCAAATGCTTTTTCCTACATCTAAGATGTTTATTGACATTTTACCCATGGTGAGTTATTCGGTCTACGTAGTACCAGGTATGGTATAAACGAGGACGTAACTGAACTAAACTCGCCTTCAAATATAGATCATGCTTCTTCAACTGATGAGCCTGTATCTGCTGACCAATCTATCTTTACAGAGCACGCCTGAATGGCCGATATGTTAGCTCTCCATGCATTTGGGCGAGGCTTAACCTTATCGTTTATCATGCCACAAGCTCTAAACATGAATGACAAGACAACATGGTCGATATTTGCCAATGGTAGAAGAATAGTTAGGTCAGCAATTTTCTCAGTTGCATGAGTGATTACCAATATTAACAAAGAAGAAACTTTGTTTTAAACAAAACTTGTGGGTCTGGATGCATACAGTAGTAAAGAATGCTTCATTACCGTTATCAGAAACCTACTATCGAAGGAGTTTATGGATCCTACGGTGTCCATCGTAGTTCAACTAAAATCAGATGCACTAAAATCTAATATCAGGCATCTGTTATTTCTACACCATAGATGAATGTGTTCTAAAATAAAGTCATCAGCTAAGTAGATTAAGTTGCGATAGATGACATCGAGTATAAATGTACAGCATACGATAGTGAGTTTACAGCTAATGACTTCATACGTTCGACTTTAATGGGATTCGCGGGCAAAGGAGCGGATATTTATATTATTAGCTATGTATAAAAGATGCCACCCTCTTTCATACATCTATGTCTATCACTTCTTAGGTAGTGGTATCCGGATAATTCTGGAGTAATTTCGAAGTCATGGACTAACCAAGCTTCTGTCACAGCTACAATCTGTAACGTTGATTTGTCCACTAATGCTCCTATTTCATAGAATTTGTTTCTTAGACTAGGAACATTTGCATACAAAACTCATAGGAAGAACGACTTATCCATACAGGTTTCGGTAGCATCAGCTCCCAAGATCTGACTGTTTAAAAACTCACAAAAAAATATAAAACGCTACCCGATTTTGCGTGTCATCCTTGCTTAGGAGCCATGCTAATATATGTATCGTTTCAATTTTAGCATATGTACCGCCAAAGAGAGTTGACTTATGGATTTTACTATTCAAATACACTATATGGTGGATTTTGATCCCCAGCCACCCTAGTTCTTTGTTTTTATGATAGTCAAATGTTATTTTGAAAAAGCCAATTTGAAATCATGGAGTGTTTGCTCAATATAGCGATCACTGAAATCCTCTGCATTTATGGACTAAATAATCCACGAAACTCAGTCTTATTATTAATTTTTGTTTTTTGAATACGGTATGCCATAGGCTATGTAACTTTTTATTAAAAATAAATTTCGGTTTACCGACATCTCCAGCGATAATATATCCTAGACAAGGGATATTCACCATGTCATGTGAAGTTCATTTAGTGATGCAGTCTTTTGGTTATTATGGTAGTAAAGCCTTCTCTGAATACTTCCTCCTCTGTACCGGTTTAATATATTTTAAAAGTTATTGTGTTTTTAATTAAATTGACTTTTCATCTACAGACTGCAATTTCTAGAATGTTTATGTTTTTTATACGGTTTGTACTTCAGAATTTCTACCAGATTGTGTTTTTATGTCAAGGACTAAAGATTTAACCCCATAAGCTTTCGACGTTTGAAAAAATATATTGATAATGTTTTAGTACGCTAGTTGGTACATTTTTTTCTTGAATAGGGGTAAAATAATGAAGCTTAACCAAGTAAATCAAAAGAAACAATAGCAGTAGTGCTTTTAAGTAGTCACAGCGGATGAAGATGGAAAAAAGTATTTTGAGTCTTAGTTTATAAGAGATATACCTGTAGAAGGCTGTTAATAAATGTCATAGACTAGAGTGCATTTATTTCTCTTTCTAGGCAAAATACTATGATGTATTATTGATACAATTACTTAGTTATCGACTGAGAATAGTTTATTGATAATAAGTGAGTTCCTGGAAAAATCTATTTTTAAACTTTATTGGAATCAGGGAGTTGAAATTTTGTTTGTTTTATAAAGCCTTATATGTGAATAGATTGTCTGATGAATTTAAACAGGACGATATAAACAAGATTTCTAGACCCTATATACAAATACATATAAGTCGCTCTCGTGTTTTCATTTATATAGATCATGTTAATCATAACCATTCATTAACTAAAGCAAATGGTGAGAAAAGAAGCTCTCAACTGTATAGTAAGTAGTAACTTATCTTTCCTATTTTTCTGTTTTCTATTTATAAAGGCTGGTTGGTAGAATTTGTAACTGCTGCGGTTGAGTGATTATCCTTAATTTTTTACTTTCGAAGATTATCTATTTTATCACTTAAAATACCAGGTTGTTATCTGGTTGTCTGTAAAATTTTCCGAATGTATCGCTCCTGGGACATCTGATCATTTTTCTGTTAGGTTAATGATTGAGTGACATATACTAGGACGGGATTTTTATAAAAGATTATATTTTCAGCACTAACGCTTACTACATTGACTCGGAATGTTGGACTGACCACAGTGAATATGTCCATTTTAGATATCTTTCAGTCAGTCAGTCAGTTACAATGTAGGACCGGGCACATACATGCATCGGTCCAACTTGCCAAACCTCATTAGCACACCAAGACGAACATCGGATTCATAGAAGCAGTTAACTCAATGGTGTTATGTATAAAGGAAAGATTTTATGTAAGGATATAGTACAGAAAGATATCTTTGGATACAGCCAGGCATCACCAAAGACCATCACATTTGTAATCCTTAGTATTATCCTTAAGACCATCATGTTGAATACTTCAAGAGTGTTAAAAGACAAATATGAGTCAAATAAATATGAAAGTGGCATAAAATTTGTTTTCCTTTAAAATTACTTTTGGTCATATTTAGATAATGTAAATAATACAATAATGAAGTATTATTTTTACGTTATTATTCAATTACTAAAAATGTAATAAGACAATGAATATCTGTATACTACTTACATTCAGCTTTTTCTCATGCACAAGCCAAGTGGTCTATGCATTTGATGGGCCACTAAAATAAATATGCGAAAATTGAGAAGTATTAAATCATACTAAAAATGCCTATATTTTGTGCAAAATAACACTTCAGTGAAGACGCACTAAATACTATATCTGAGAATCCATAAGTTAAGAAGATCAGATTTGGAGATAGTTTGGTGAGATTGTAATGTATGGACGACCTTTGAGCGACGCTAAAGTGACCTTGAGAGTGTTCACCTAATAACTAGAAGCAAATGAGGGTTGTAAACCAACGTGAGGAATTAGAATTATGATTTACAGTTGATGGTTCTAGTTAGGAATTAGATTTAGAGTTTTCATCACGAACTGACATCAGTTACAATACCATAACTCTATTTAGCCAAATGGATGAGTGAATTTCGCGCCAAAATCCAAGATTTGCTATCTTGTACCTGATTGGTTCGTCCATAAATTATAGTCTCGCCGATAGTTTTATGGTGTAGAAGTTTAATGAGGAAATCAATTAACCTGTAAAACGAATTTTGTAACCAGTAGATAAAGTATTAACAGATATCAAAGACAATCGATAAGTACTGAAAATTAATCAGATACAATGATATTAGTTCTCTACATAAGTAATTTTACTCCCATTTTAGTAAAACATAGGGGAAATTCAAAATCATGTGGTAGCCTCTGATAAAAAAACATTCTATAACTACATTGTTTTGATTGTAGTAGCTTTGCCAGTTCACTGTAAGAGAATACAAGCCTACAATTATAGACTTTTCAGTATCTTGTAAATTACTAAACAGATTGTGTCAACATTTCTCACTTTCCCAGTATTATGACGATGGGACAAAACGGAATTTTTTTGTAGTTCAGATTGTAGAATTTTTTTGGTACATTTTAAAACAGCGTTTTACTGTGAGTTCGAGAAAATTTACTGTGCAAGAACAGTTGCATTTATAAATAAACAGTGATATCTAACCAGATCCACTTTACGCCAATGAAAAATATAACCACAGAAGTAAGCGGATAACGGGGTCCTATAATAATACTTTTTTCATCTAATGCAGTCTACCGGGTTTCAAAATATCATACCTTGTAGGGTGTCTCAAGCTGAATTCTAAAAATAATCACTAGATATGCTGTATTGAAATCCGTTACTTGATAACTCTATGTATGGTGGTCGTTTTTCACATTATTTATTGGTTCCATATGTTTTCTTATTAATTCAATACATCGCATACAGAGGTTGAACTTGAATAGACTTTAACGAATATAAATGCTTACTTTAAATATGCCCAATCGATAACGTGCATAATTTTCAACAAGTCAAGCAAAAGTTTGATAAAACTCAATAAGTTTGCAAATATTTACTTTCAATCATTTATTTATATGAAAGCATAAAAATTGAAAAAATACATATAGTTTGTTTTGAAAAAATCAACACCCCTTAATGCTCCGGAAAACAATCGACTGGTAAGATACAAGCAACAGAACGGATTTGGTACAAAGTTATACATTTTGATTTAAAACATCTGATTAAATATCTTCATTATCTATACATCTATACAGTGATAAAGCTGTTAAAATATCAAAATATTAAATAGAAAAATAGTTTTTAAAACAGTTGAAAGTACTTTATTTTAATTTCCAGAACTAATCATCAACTTCATCACTGTACTCATCATATTTCAAAATGATTAGTTAGAATATCAGAAATCCAAATAAGTGATCACATGTAAATTGACTTACTTACGTACGCCTGTTACTACTCGTGGAGGAGCATAGACCGACCACCAGCACTCGCCATCCAACCCTGTCATGAACAATCCTTTCCAGCTCTTTCCAGTTCTTATTCATCCTTTTCATATCTGCTTCTATTTCCCGACGCAATGTCTTCTTTGGCCTCCGTACAATAGAACTGCCTTGACGTTCGTATTGAAGATTCTGACTTTGATAGTGATTGAAAGTTGTTTAGAGTTCCACATATGAATTTAATTATCAAAAATCATAATTCCCAATGATTATATATATAAGTATCCAAGATTATAAGCTATCACATTTAATAAATTTTATTAGGTATATACATGAATAAGGAAAAAAATTCTGTAGTTAGTCGACTATAAATTAGACAGTAAAATAAAAGATAGTAATTAATTAGTCAAAATGGAGCTTATAATTTGAATTCGGTTGAGGTTAGACATTAACGCCGTTGAATGCGGGCTCAGTGGTCTAGAGGTAAAGAGTTCGCGAGCGAGACTAAAGACCCTGGATTCGGATCCCGTGAGCGGGATCGTGGATGCGCACTACTGAGGAGTCACATAGTAGGACGAAACGGCCGTCCAGTGCTTCCAGGTTTTCAAAAGTGGTCTAACATCAATCGGTTCATGATCTCAATTAAAAACATTGAACCAAATTTTAAGAAAAATATTCTGAAACAAATGTTGGATGAACAGTCATTAAAAATGTACAAACAAGTTTATTGGTGATTAACAATTGAAGTTTGGTAATTATTCGTTTTGCACCTTTTCCTAACAATAATTAAATTTGTTAAATGTTAGAAAACTTCAAAGTATTTACGTTCAAACTGTTTTAAACTGACTCTAAAGTGAATGAAATAAAATGCGATGGAAGACAATACAGGAGGCTATATAATTCATCAATGATTCTAGAAGGTTTCAGCTTACATGTTTAGTAAATAAGAACGAAGTTCCAAGATTTTAGTTAATGGTACCCCTGAAAACTTTGATTTGATTTATTAATCTTAGTAAGTTTAACGAAGAGCTTTGCTTTTTAAACATTTCTTGTCATTCAAATACCATGCAATTAGAAATCGAGCTAGAACCAGTTAGACTCATTTTAATGTGCGGTGATTGATAGACGAAAGGCAGGGTAAAATGAATTAAGAAATATATCAACGTTTGATTGTTTAAATAGGCCTTATGTTCTTGATGGAAAGGGCCTGTCTTTAATCACTTAAACATCATTATCTTGGTTCAATGATTACCTTCAGCTTTCTGATGATCACTGTACAGTACCAGTTTTTTCCTAATTGAATTAAACGATATCATTGTATTCAAAGAGTAAATTATTTTAACCTTATGGAACAGAATTCTGAATATGTCTTAGAAGTAACCAAATGACACAAATGAAGTTATGATGGCTTTTATTTCGTGCTTTACGTAGATATAAGTTAAATATAAATTGTTTCGTTTCTGTGAAATTTATTTAAGGAAGTGAAATCGATAGATGACTTAATAGTCTATGATAAACTTAGCATTCATATAGATTTTGCTGGATATTAAATGCCAATCTAGTGCATGATTTCGGTTGACTCACATCAAAAAAATATTATCAACTCACCTGACTTTGCGACAAATTCTTAAGGTTCTGGTAACAAAATGCAAACGGTGGAGATCAACCACGCACAGTACAACTCTTTCATCGAAATACTCGCAAACAATAAGTACTTAATTCTGACCAAATATTTATTTACAAATCTTATATGACACAGTACATCGTAAATACGTCACTAAAGTTTTATCATTTAATCTGTAGGCCAATATGAATTATTCCTTATGGTCACATACTAATACCTTCGTTTGAGTCAGTGACTTAGCTAATTATCTGATAAATTTGTGACGAGTAAACTAGATCCGGAACGATGGATATAATGACTTTATCGACTTCGTTTTCCCAACATATGATTTAATCCATACGATTACCTGAGATTATATTTCTGTATGACTTTCATCTTTTCAAGTCTACACGTTTTAGTGTTCTGAAGTTGCCTTTCTTGCTATCAGTTTAATTTTTCACACTCCACTAAGTTACTAAATAAATGAAGTATAGTAAGATTCAAGTTATTTATAGACAGTAACAGAAAGTATTTAGTTAATTTATGCAAAAAATAATTATTAATTATTTTAGGTTTAGGAGCTGCTGTTCTTATACAAAAATGGTACCGGCGTTATCAAGCACGTCTGGAAGTCAAAAGAAGATGCGCTTGGATGATTTATCAGACATTAGAGTATGCTGGCGAACAAAATCATGCAAAGGTAAACGGTGTTATCATAGTTAATATGAATTTGCCTAATTGGAAGTAATGATGAAAAACGCTTTTTTTTCTGAAGAAAACTCATCACTCTAAGGTCTGTTCCTTTGAAGGTTACTTCTGTTCAATTAAGTTTTGTAAAAAGACATGTGATAATAAATTTCGTAATTTATTTTTGAACAGTATTCTGTGTTTGCAGTTGAGTCCCACAATATATATGTTTGACATACTACAATCATTGTAAGTTCACTTTTCGTCTTTCGATACTGTTAGCGGGACATAGACTGGATTATAGCATGCTCAATGCACGATTGCTTTGCTGTACGCTGATTGGCTAATTCTCACCCAATCAGCGGTAGTCGATACTTAGAGAACACTCTAGAAATTTTCTTATGTAAAAACTATAAATATACTAACGTTTTTCCTTCTGTGCTTCTTACTTCCATCTAACCTTGTTATTTGGAATATAATCTCTTCCCTGTCAACCGTGTTCTGATTTGGGGACTTGTCGAGTGAATTGGTGTCCGAGAATACTGATCAATAGGAATAGCTGGGTTGTAATAATAGAGAATTATACCAGATACATAAATGAGAAAAGCCGACAAACATTGGCTGCAATATGATATATATATATATATATATATATATATATATATATATATATATATATCTTGTTTCTTTGGATGACCTAAAACAAATGAAATCGATATACGATTTCATGCAAAATTATTACTCATTGTCCTTGTCGTTCGTAGTAGAATATTTTAATGAATTTTAAATTGATTTATTTGATTGAATTGTGATGGATTTGATTATGTCTAAATTACATTGTATTAACACAGGGAGAGAATTATGCCTTGTTCCCTAAGTTAAAAATAATATACTCGTTAGTATTCAGTGATTGAAGACATAGGGTGTCGTGGCTCAGAGTCGTTAACAATTGAATCAGTGAATTCACTCTTTATCTTACCTTCGATCCTGAGTTTCAAAATCATATCATAATAAATTTTTACTTTGTCAATTCACTCTTTCTTCGCAAATCATACTGTTTATATCTGGTCGCTTTTACTACTTCTAAAACCATCATTAATTCTACTACTGTGGAATTTATCTTGTTCATCTTATCTCTCTATACTGATATAATTTGGTAGCTTAAACCGATGCACTCGGATGTTAGATTATATGTTGCAAATGACTGATTGATTGAAACTCAAATATCTCATTTATAACCCATTTATCTATCCCATGTAACTTATGTGCAGCAAAATGAATCTTTGTTTACGATGTATAGTCCCAATAAGCAGCTTATGAAAATCAAATCCCCTGTTTTTTACACTCGATATTCAATCATACAATGTCAAATAAATTCATCTTTCATGTATATCACTAGATGAAATAAACTACTCTTGGTATTTTATAGTTTAGGGTTAAGGACTTACCGCTAGATAAAAAAAACCTGGATTCAATACCCTGTGTGGTCATGAATTCTCACAACTGACAAGTGTCATACTATGAAAAAACAGTTGTTCAATTTTTTTTTGATTTTCACCGGTTGTCTTAATATGATCATTTCCCCATGTAAACCATGAAATTTGATCTCTTTGTAATGAAGTACGATCATCATTTATTTATGCATTATATTAATTTGTTAATTTTAATTAGTCTTGCTAATAAACTCTCAATTTGTAAAATTTATTTTTTATTCACTTTTTCCCACATTTCATGATTACAATGAACTATAAAAACAAAATGTAAAGCTATACGATCTATTTCATGATCTTATATCACACGCATCCAGTGGAGAAACAGCAAACACCGATGTTAATTCTGACTGTCCACATAGTCCAGGTAAGATAAAATTCTTTTGATAGTTCGAAAGGATCTTACTGAAAAAATAATTGAAATATAATTTCTTTATAATTTAGTCATTATTTAAATTATTTGTTATGAAGCCGATGACTAAGAAATATTGAAGAAAATCTAAGACACTAATGCAAACTTCAAAATTATTTGCTTTACATACATAAACTCATTGAAAACGAGTTGATTTATGTACACAAATCACTAATGATAATTATTTATCTACTGATTTTGTAGTAATATGAGTAATATATATATATATATATATTTCAATAGTTGAGATCATGAGTCAATTGAAGCTAGACCACCATAGAAAACCTGGGTTCGAATCTCTCGAAGCGGGGTCGTGGATGTGCACTACTGAGGAGGCCACAATCAAACAGAACGGCCGTTCAGTGCAACCGGGTTTTCCAGAATGGTCTAGCTACAATTGACTCATAATCTCCACTATTGAAATTACTACAATCTGCACAAAACCCCTTCTAATATATATATATATATATATATATATATATATATATATATATATATATATATATATATATGCTTTCAATTAGTGGCCTACACCTATGCATACAGTTTATAAAAAACCATGCCAATTAGTTGTGGTAAAACTACTAAACGGAATTAGAAAGTCAGAAATATTCCTTGCTTGTGACTTAAGGCCATATCGACGTTATCCAAACAGGATGTACATATGTCAACAAGAAACTGACGAATTGCAATTCTAAACAACAATGGGCAGATACAAGTAAAGCAATACCAAGTGAATTTAAACTTCACCCCATTGCACAAGCTAATGGCTATCAGGATTTAGTAGCCATGGGCAGTATGTGAGGGTGTTTGAAGTAAACGGTACTGGATTTGAGTCCCGGAGTGAACATCAACTCTCGGATGTAGGTAAATCCAGCTAACATGTCCTAAATAGGACGAAACGTGCATCCTGTATTCCACTATTAGCCACTATTCATCTTTCGTAAAAAATAGTCTTGAAAAAACTATCTCGAAATTAACTTGAAGGTGATTACAAACAGAGTGACGATTATGTTCATTCGTATTAATTAGTAAATAAATCATTGTGTACTGCTAAATTATATACAGATTACATGATAGAAATACATTGTAAAAATTTTATTCACAGATGAAGCATTAGCAATAAATATGTAAGAATCTATAAATAGAAAGTATGTTTCAAATAAAGAAATCACAGTTTACATGTTTATCTTATAGGTTAGATTAGTATGATCTTCATTGATAATTAACTTAATAATAAGACAGTACAAACTTTTGAAAATAAGCATTGTATTAAGACTATCCTTTATTACAAAAGGTGATACTTATAGATTTGATAATAAATGTATCTAATTATACACCAAATACATCCAAATATACAGAAGTACTTTGATTGGTCATAGGATATCATGAAAGGGAAATGAGTAACTCACTACACTTAACAATATTTCAATAGAATTCATAATTGACAATCTACACCCTAAATGCAATGGTCCGATCGATAGAGGAGAGTTTGTTCTACCACTCGAAGTGCTCTCATATAGTCACGCGTACATATATAAACCAAGGCATTTTGTTAGATACAAGATATACTCATTGTAAACAGTAAATATTTTGAAACATTATATGAACTAATCAACACAAAACTGATTGTGAAAAAAATTTCCTTTCATCTTAGATGTAAGATTTTTAACGATTCCAGAAACTGGTAAGCGTTGCTTATGTAACCAACCTGTTGTCAAAGCATTTCAATCTTGCACGTGGCTTATTTAATTTATTCAACTTTCCATTCTTATTATTTATTAGCTAAATATTATCGCTTTGTATCAGTTATTAGCTTTCATTATACATAACTAATAAATCTAATGGGTGCTTTTATTTTAACGATTATAAGTGTGACAGCAATTTATCTTTATTGTGTGAATGTAATTGTGTCATTAATATTATTATTATTTGAAAATCTTATTTTTATAATACTCTTTGTCGATTATCAGTAAAAACAATCATACCATACAAGGTTAATCTGAACATGACTTTGAAACTAGGCATATGATTAAAATTTCTGAGTGTAATTGGAATACGTATACTTGTTACATTTTTCTTAACAAAGTAATAACTACGAACAATATTCATAACAGTGGAATATTTATATATATTAAAGTAGTCGTGTATTATTGCCTGTTTAATAAATTTAACGGAGTTGAGTTCTATTAGTCGTGTGATGTTATCATGTAGCTGTTATTGTCTTTCTGATCAACAGCTTCATCATAAACTTCAGGTAGAATTTCATTTACATATGACTAACAGCTTATTCTGTCGATCATGAATTCAATAGGTTGTTGAAATTAAAATTTACCTTCAAAATAAGTTTTTTAATTTTCTTTCCGAAGGTAAAAAAATCCTAAAATAAATTTATAATGATGTATTCTGATGGGAATTCTGTGTTACACTCAACATATAATATTAAATAAAGTGATTAATAATAACAATAGATGATAACTGCTATCATACAATTCGAGACATCAATCTTCATATTTAAAGAATGCATTTTATCAACATACAGAGATATCAGGTGAAAACCTGCAGAGTGACTATGTTGGGGACGTTAGATCCCCAGAACTCACTTGAGAAAGGACCTAATTTTGTAATTTTATTTAGAAGATATGAATTTCTTCGTTTTCGCGCCAAAGGCGCTCTTTTCACTTTCATGTTGTATTTGCCATTTGGATTTTATATAACAGTTTTTGTGTTATCCCTTCAACTATGATCCCTTGAATTCATTTCAGCTAATTAACAAACTTTACTAAAAATTTTCTTACTCTACATATCCAGCTTACCTCTTATAATCACTTGAGACAACAGCTGTTTAAATTCAGAATAATTAGATAAATTATTAAAAATATTAACTGAGCTAGATCTATGTACACGAGGTCGGATAACCAATTTTACAACGTATCTATTATTACAAAGGAATAACAATCAAATCATTATTGATAATTCAATGTTATCATAATAAAGATTCACAGTTAAAGTGGTGGAGTTGTACATATTGAACTGGATGGTTTAAAGCTGCTCAAAAACCTTATTTACCTCAGGGAACATAACACCACCATAATTCAGTGTCATATGGAAATATATTTTGATATATTCCTCAATTAATAAATTATACTTTATTTATAATTTTTATTGGTATCAGACATTGATGAACCGTTAGATTTAAACATTTGGAATGGGGATTGGTTACCGATAATACCGTCAAATTATCAAGGAATAAAGTTGTACTTTCCCATAGATATGAATCAAGTTGCCATGATGATGGAATCATTTGTTAATGGATGTGTAAGTAATGTGTTTTTAATATCAAATATGAAACTGATAATTATTTATTATACTTAATCAGCTATGATGGTTATCAATGCCAACGTTAGACTTCATAGTTTCAAATAAATTGATCATTGTGTAGAAACTTAGTAGTAAATATATTTTTGTTATATCCAAATAAGTGAAAAACTTGTATTTTGGGTGTTTCGTGACTTAATATAGACACTTCTTCAAAGTGACTGAATAACCGAAATAAATTAACACAAGTTTCAATAGTACAAACTTACGTTAATTTATTTCGGTTTTATACTTACTCTGAGGAAGTGGTTTACATTAAGTCACAAAACACAAAAATCACGATTTTTCTATTCATTGGGATATAACAAAATTATGTTTATTATTAATCATCTCTGAGGAAAAGTACACTATTGTTGTCAGTTCAAATCTCTATTTTTGTGTACAAAGGGTCGATTCAAACGGTATTTTCTATTTCTGTAAGTTCTTATTATGTAATATGGGATTTTGTAGAGTTAACAGTTACATAACTAGGATCCATTTTTTCATTAAGTTTCCGATTCACATAACTAATATTTCAAGCCTTAGATAAAAAGTGACTGAAAGTTTATTTGTGATCTACTTATATGAAAAGTAATAAGTTTGGAAAATCAAAGACATATGTCGCTTACTACAAAATCTCCCCAACCAATAAACATATTGTATTTTAAAATACATTTTTTTACTGAAAGCATGTAGGAATTACAGAATGAAACGTATTGGGACAATAGCTAGAACATTACAAAATAATTTTTAAAAAATATGGTAGATAGGTCATACACATATTTAAAAAGGGTTCAACATTGTTTATAAAAACATAAACTCATGTTTATTATGAACTTTCAGAAAATAACCAATTTAACACCTAAAGCATGAACAATAAACCTCAAGGGATATTAATTATGAATTATGCACTCCGAATATAATTCTTACATCATACAGAATCAAGTCAGTAATCTTAGAGCAAGTGTTTTAAATACTTCTAACACAGAAAATTATTCACAACTCTGTAATAACATCTCAAACTGTGAAGCTAAGGTACCTGTTTTTCGAATCAATCAGGAGGTTAACATTTCTCTCAATGTTTCAAATACACTTAATTGATAAATACCAAATAACATGAAACCAAAGTCAAAAGTTTCTCACCGTCTACTTTCAATTACCTAACATATTTATAATATCCTAAAACTATCCACTAATGATCACATAACTATTATAAAAAGAGATATTTATAAAGACTAGTTCAACTGGAACTGACAAAAACGAATATAAAAATTAATCTTTGTAAGCATTTCCAAATTAGTCCATAGTTTTCATAGAATTTCTTCACTAAAAACAAAAAAATAGGTAAACCATATTGAATACTGAGAATAAAAAGAAAAAGAACAAAACCCTTCTCATTCACAATTTCACTACTACATTACTACAATCTAGACCTATTTTTTAATATAATCTCTATTAATTCACATAATAGATAAAAGACATTCGTTATAAATTTAACTATTCAGTCATTTAATGTAAATGAAATAATAAACGTTAACTATTTAATTCAATAGGCGTGATCCTAATTAAGATATCATCTGAACTATTATTGTCCATTCTTTTCGAAATTTTTCTTTTTTTCTTTTTTTTTTTTGTTTTGAATTCATAATTATTAAATATAAATTGTAAGGGGGAAAATAAAATAGTTTGCGTGATAATTGAATCCAGGCAAAATTGTTCTACTTTATCATAATTAAATATATATTATACCCCAAAAGAAAAATAATAAATCAATTCATTAGCTGAAATTTTGTGTTTGAATTATTTTTTTTTTCAGAAGAAAAATGTTTATTTTAAATGGTTAAATAGAAACAAATATGCCTTAGTATAAGTGTAATTAGTAAAATGTGATTAAGCTAAACTCTACCTGTTACTATTCGGATAAATAATGAAGCTTTTCTTTTTCATTAAATGTCCTAGTTATGTGTTTGAAATAAAGTAGTATACATGTAAAGGGTTTTGTGAAGATTGTGGAAATTGATAGTTTACGTCACAAACTAACCTTTGTTTAAAATATATTTTAGTGGGGTCCTTTATTTTGTCGTCATTTAGATCGGATGATGTTGTTGTCGAAATATATATGTCGTCTGTCCTTGTATATAATCATCGACTTAAATCAATAACGGAATTAAATAAGTCAAATAATGAGAATGGACTTTTGAATGCATATATTTTGTATATGAAGCGAATAGAATAGCGAGAAGCGAAATGACACGCAATGGAGATGGCGGGTAAGCCAACTCCCTTTTTGGTGAAGCACTAATCAATGTTTGTAGTCACACAAAAATAGGTTGCAGACATGTGATGAGTAATGGGATAGGAAGTGTACATACACATATGTGCTCACATAAAAACAGTCAAGATTGATAAGCGAATAATTAACAAGATCAGAATGTGACTCAAGTAGAATTAATGGATTGGCCTGTTCAAAAGCTAGAATAAGATATATGGGCTTAACATAGTAACCGACACTGCAATATACCAATGAATGCTTACTCAGTGGTTCAAAACAAAGCTATCTCAGAAAAAATTAAATGTTGTGGTTTTAATTCACAGAAAATTAGGGGATAAACAGTGTTGAGGTGTCTTTCACTATGATGTATGATAATTATCTTTAACTTCCTGGCTTTCAATAATTTTTATTAAGGTCATTTCATATAACCATATAACCATAAGGTAATATTATTGTCGATATTCAAATGATGTAAGAAACGTGTTCATTTCTACATAATATAAAATGTAAAAACTTGCAAACTAAGAGGCTTTCTAGCTTATACGTTAATACACAGTCTATTATGAAAAGTATAAATCTGCCTACAGTGATGTAGACATTTTATCGAAAAAATAACTTGAATGTCATCTCATGCTTTTAGTTCTGTAGTTCCGAAATTCTATGGTATGTTTTGAAAGATAGATCGGCAATTCATTGACTACAGCATTCATTTTCATTTTAACTCTTGGACATAAATAAATGAAATATAAAAACAGATCCGATCAATTTTATTTGGCTAGAATTTCGATAATATTATTCCTTAAACAAATTTCGTTTACGTATAAATGAATACTTAAAAAAATATGGAATTGCTGATACGGTTCATTTAAGTTATCAGGCATGAATAGACTCAGTTTACAGTTACAAATGTTTATTTATTGTCGGTAGAAAATATAGTGATAACTGTTGCTAGACAATATCAAGCTAGGTGGCACGATTCAGTTGATTTTTAAGAGATTTATTCTACCTTTATTTTAGCACCACAATTATTTATATCAACATTTAAATTATGAGTATAGGGGTTATGGAGATTATTAATTTTTTTTATTGAGATCATGAACTGATTGATGTTAGACCATCGTTAAAAACCTGGAAGCACTGGGAGGCCGTTTCGTCTTATTGTGGGACTCCTCAGCAGTGCGCATCCACGATCCCGTACGCGGGATTTGAACCCAAAGCCTTCAGTCTTGCGCGCGAACACTTTGCCTACTGGACCACTGAGCTGGCATCCAATGGTGTTAATGTTTAACCTCAACCAATCCATGAAATCATGTGATCATTTTTCATTGTACTGAGGTATATACCTGTCTCTACCCGACACGGATTAGCTCCACTGGTCACTGCTTCTCACTAGAACTCCGAGAATTTCCTCACGAAGCTAGTCACTAGAGAGCACGTGGTAACTATCAGTATAGGTTGTGAGTGTATTGATCATTCTATTATCGGAAGTCACCTGTCTGATTTCGTCCTTGTATATCTACTAATTAGAAAAAACTATAACAGAAGTAACAACAATTATTAAAAAATTACATCATGGATTGATCTTAGCTAAATAAATATTGAAAACCTGAAAGCACTGTCCAGTTGTTTTGTTCTAGTTTGGGACTTCGGAGCGATTCCCATCTGCAACCACAAAGGGAGCTAAACTCATTACCTTCACGTTCTCACGTTACCAATAAACTTCTGAACCATTGAGCCGGTATTCTGTAGAGAGACTGAGATTCTTGAGTTCAGTTCATTGAGAAGTTGAGAGTAGGTTCGGCTAAGAAGTTCGAAGAAGAAGAACGAAACGACTATCCAGTGCTTCTTGGTTTTCAATCTTCGTCTAATTAAGGACAACACATAATGCAATGTATTCAAATCCAATGATTTCTACATTAATTAACTCTCAAAGTGTTTGATAATTTAATTAAAAAAGCTTCTTATATACGAAAGTGGAAAATAAAATAACGTGATGAAAATTAATTCATTACTTTATAATAAATGATCAATTCAAAGCAAGAGTCAATCACGACGTTAACTGATTTTCAATATTTCATAGAAACAGTCCATTTTCTCATCCCAAGTCAGATTTCTCTAAACATAACACCTGTCCATATTAAACTATAAAAATTTAATAAATAACTTTGAGTTTATCAACACCTCATTATTATGTAATAACAAAATCCTCACTGTTAATGTCTACTATGAAAAATAAATTCACTATGTTAAACCAATATTTCGATTATTATCATAGTAATTAGGTTAACTTGTTTATTTTGAAAGTGTAAAATATTGTTTAATGTCTGAAGATTTATTATTTAAGATGTGACATCATCATACACAGATAACTAGCTAATTAACTATTCATAAGTTGAAATATTCACTTATCATGTCGGAATATCTAACATAATGAAGTCAGAAAATTTTATGAATTAAACACTTATAATTATAAGCAAAGATAGATAATGGCTAGAAAAGGAATCTAGGACGCGCGTTTTGTCCTATTTGAGATTCGTCATCTGAATGTACCCGCATCTCAGAGTTGATGTTCACTCCGTGGCTCGAACCCAGTACCATTCACTTCAAAAGCCACCACGTTATCCCCTTAGTTGCTGAGTCCTGATAGCTTTTGCAATGGAATGAAGTTTACATTTACTTGTATTGTTTACTTGAATCTCATCGATGTTTAGGACAGCACATGATGCACATATGCCAATTAGATACTGATCAATTGCAGTCCTAAACATCAATTGAAAGATTTAAGGAAACAATACTAATAATTATGCTTGAAAATTCCCAGGTAATCTTAATGTTTATTGCTTGACAAAACCCCTATTTTATATATATTTATGAACTAGTCGTATTTCATTTTATTATTACTGTGAAAGTATTTTACATGATCACAATGCAATAAAAATATTTTCGTCCATTTCTCTTTACTTTTCTCATGGCTTTTTTCTGCAATATTTCAATTACAAATTATATGATTGAAGTATTGATAACTACGAAAAATTTCTTCTCTTTATAGAACATTCCTCAGAGTAATTCATTTTACTTGATGAATATATTTTGAAAACAAATTAATTTATCAGTTTATATTTTTAATTTATGGTTAGTGTTATACTACTGAAATTAAAAACAATGACTATGAAATTAGATGCAATTTAAGTAGATCAGTATAAATTGTTTCAACATAATATTATGTTATATCATATAGTCATAATATTGACTTGAGTCCTGGGACATAACTTTTTATAAACTAAACCTGTTGTGTTAAAGTTTACTGACAAAAATTTGAAAATAAATTTCAGTGGTGATCTAACATCGATCGGTTCATGATCTCAATTAAAACTCCACAATCTCTACAACCCTATACTGAGAAGTAAATTTATCATAAATGTAACACGATAACATAGAAATATACATTTAAAAAAAGGATAAAACTAAAAACAGTGAAATATTTTAAACTCTTATTAAGAAATAAGTTGTGGTTAATATCATGTTTGTTTAGTTCTTAGTTGCAATATGGCTACTAGTTTAAGTGACTCAACACAGTGCGCACTACGTTTGGACGTTCATTGATAAGTTTGACAAGAACTCTTGAACCTCGGTTTTGTGCTAGTTGGCACTTATCATCAAGATATATCTACAATCTTCAGGAATCTGATGGTATCGAATAGGCGTCACCAATTTTTTCAGTCTCAGTTGTTACTACCTACCCATTCAAATTGATTTAGATGTTTATATACTAGTCGAATTAACAAATTGTCAATCAGGTTTTCTAACATAGAAAATAAATATCATAGGTATAACTTAATCTATTCACTCTATTTATTAAATACATATATTTAAGAGGTTTAGTTTTCTTTTTAATCAAACATTTGTTTTTTTTTGTTTGATTTTATAAGAATAAGTTGGTATCTAAATACAACATATCTGTTTAACCATTCAGGATAAAGAAGGTTAATGATCAAAGATTAGCAAACTTTTTATTGCCTCTTTTAATTAATATTTGATTTGTTTGTTTGTTTGTTTTGTTTAGTTTTGTTTACTCAATACATTCACACCCAAATGAATGATTTTATTTAAAACTAAACATTATGATAGGATTAATATATTGACATGACCTAGAATGTTTCAGAAGGTTCACATTTCAAGATGAATTTATTCTACCTTATTGTATGCAGGTTCATAGTTGAAATTTGCATTCAATACTTTGATAATAAAGTCAGTAACTTATAATAGTATCAACCAACTGGAAATTTAAGGATAGACTTTATTGATGATTAATATCAGCGAATGAATACCTTGGAAACCAAGGAGTACTGAACAAATTTTATATTCTGGTGAAATATTATTCAGTACTTACGACAAACGATCCTCAGTCAGTCAGTTACAAAACAGGACCAGGCACATCCATGCATCGATCTAATTGGCTATATCTCATTAGCACAGCAAGACGTACACCAAAATCATAGAAGCAGTTAACTCAATAGTGTAATATATAAAAGAAAGATTACATATAAGGATATAGTACAGAAAGAAAGAATTACTTGATGATAAGAAAGATATGAAGCGATTTTAATGTCATAGTTTAAGGGAAGATAGAGAATGTATACACCTACACCATTGTGATCGATTCTGAGCCATGTCAACCAGTCTCCCCCTAACAAAGCAAAATCCAGGATACTCATGTTTCATGAGATCGATTATGCTTAAACCACTGATTGATTATCTAGTATTGAATTCCGATTTCATCGAGGAGTTGCTTTCAAATGTCATAATTAGTAAATACAGATTTATTATTAATCACCTAATTTGTAGAGATATGTTTAATTTATGCATAATTTTCATCCCGGAACTGTTCTCAACTAGGAAACTCTATAAAAGTCATAACTAAAACTGCGTTGAATATTTTCTGATTCACTGATTATGTAATACTGAACAATAAAATCAACATGAACAGAATTTTATACAACAATTAGATAATAATCATGTATTCGTAATTGTCTAATCCTATGGTGAACTTCCTGAAGCATTTAACAGAAAACTATCACTTTTGTAATCAATTTATGATAGACAATCATGAGATGGTGGATATGTATCTAACTGTCAGATATTTTTATAGTTTAATCAGATCCCAGTTTCACTATTATTTGTTTTCTATCCATTAATGCATTTTCAATAATACCGCTGAACAATATTGTCCTTTCTTTTAATAATAACGATGAATATATCATCATAAGCTAATTTAAATCATTTAGCAAAATATAATTAGTTTTTATGAAATCCAATTGTTCTTATCATTGAATATCATATTGCTGAGACAGTTCAACTGTATGGCTATATGACATCACATTAAGCACCTTAGATCGATTTACTTCTAGATAATACCAAAAATAAAAACCATGGTATCTCAAACTTGACATTGATCTGTTACCTAAAATTTGACAAAGTTGACTGCTTTAGATACTTGAAGACACATGATAAAGTTAATAGCTATTTCATATAATGCTTCTAGTGCATTAGTGGTCCTTTAGTGAACGAGAACACATGGAGGATAACCAAATGTATTTGAGTACGAAATTACAGAGTTATTTGGTAAAATGTGAATACCATACGCTCAGTACTTCACTTGCAGAATGTTCATTATTTGTCTCAGACTTTGTTGTTCCTTCAGTTTCATACCCATCACTCTAGGTTTCCATTCTCTTCTATTCGATCTTCTCAAACTTCTGTTTCCAGGCGTCCCACTTTCGATTGGTGTTACATACTACTTGTATCTGTCAATATAAATGGCACACTCCACAATCCTACACAAGAATTAACCCAATAGTTTCAGGTCTTTTAATGGGCATAAAGCTCTATCAATTACTGGCGTTTGAATCTAGTACATCACGTTTTCCAACTTCGGTTAGTTCAAAATAAAGCGAGACGATTCAATACTATCGTTTAGTCATTGTACATTGCAGCAAGCCCCTATATGAGTCCATTCATTTTTCAATGAGGAAAACGTGACTACTAAATGTGTATTATTGAGCTTTTTAATCACGTTCTGCATATGTTTCTTCGCATAATTATTCGCTCTTGTCGATATACATTTTCTAAATAGATTTGCGGGTTGATCGATGTCTTTTACTTATTTATCTTATTCATCGTCTATTTGAACTGTACTTAAACCCAAGCAATAATACACAAACTGATTTTGACTAAGATGTCAAATTTATAATCCATCAATTCATTCACACGCATGACCTACATGATGATGGGAATACGTGACCTATAATATTCCTGGAACACTGTATACGACCTCGTATTTTACGTTTTTGTTGTATTAGCTACACAATTTTCAAACTTAAGTATAACTAACGAAACAAATGCGGGAACAAAAACTACTGGATTGACATAGATATTTATAATGTCTAAAAACATCCCATAACTTTGTACTTCAACATTAAAAATCTACCTTTACTCCCTTATGAATACAATCATTTTTCTGATAATTTTTTCAGCGGCTTCACGCAAAATATGTATTTCAAATTTTATGCGAATCCAGACAATGTATCATGTCACGTCCAAATATTCAAATGGCATCAACATCAATATCTCGACAAATTACAGTTGTTGGTGATCTACATGGACAATTTAGTGATCTTCAAATTATTTTATATAAAGTTAGTACGATGTAAATAATCTCACTGTAACTAATGCTTGAAGCATACAGATCTATTCTAGTCAATCTTTTTATCAATGGTACCAATGGAAAGATGAAATAATCATAATTGAAGTAATCATAATAGTTAGTTATGATTCTGTAGACTACTTGGAATATATTCAATAAAATAGTAGAATCGAATATAATAGAAAATGTATGATCTTTTGAAAGATAAGAAATAAAATCAACAATTTTGTTTAGATGTGCAACTTAATTTTTCATATAATGATGATAAAGATCTTCAGCTCACTTCAATGCATTTGATGTTATATTCTCTGACCTAGATGGTTTAATTGTGGATTTTTCATATCTGTTCTGGACAATGTCATCAACGTCTACTTCATTGAAAAGTAAAATTTTCAGTTATTCAACATGTGTGATAACAGTTTATAATGATCTACCTGATATAGCATTCAAAACAACCCTCAACAATTTGTGGATATCGTAGTTGTTTTTCTTAAGTGACTCAGTTCTCATAATTATTGAACTGGACGTGTTTTTGTAATAGTAAACCATAACAAATCATAATTATACCACTATCGAAATTGATTTCTATACTGTCAACGTTCTTTGTTGACTTAAGAAGTATTCATTACATATGTAAATTTTATATAGAAACATGGTTCATTTACCTTCTAATATATACATGTTTGCTTTATATCCATATTGTTTTAGAATGGGATGCCAGATGTAACGAATCCTTATGTATTCAATGGGGATTTTGTTGATAGAGGTAGAAAATCTGTAGAAACATTATTAACTATCTTATGTCTAATGTTGGTTCGACCAACTTCAGTATTTATAAATAGAGGCAACCATGAAGATCTTTATGTAAACTGTCAGTAAGTCATTAATGTTTAATTGTCGTTATCAGTGACTAGTTAGTTCAAAGTATTATACAAAGATTACTTGATTCATGAACTAAATAACCATTGCTAACCAAAGGTATTAGGTAATTGTTCTGTACTTTGTAGTTTAATATTCAAATTTGTATACTCACAATCTCTCAATTGATTGATCACTGGGTGACCAATGTCATGCGTGTCTAGTCCTTATTATTAGTGCAGATCGAATGCTATCGATCATGTTGCAATGTGGCCACCAGTCTAGGTGACTCGACACTGCGGGCACTATTGTAAGATTAGATGGTGGTTGGAGGTAGTCGACAGGAAACCCTGGACCCGGGTTTCGTGCTACTTGGCACTCGTCAGCAAGGTGTACCTGTAATCTTTGAGGGAACTGGTGCTCCCTGGCGGATTCGATCCCGTGTCACCCAGCTTCACAGTCAGAGACGTTACCACTGAGCTATCCGGGCCGCGACCAACCTCCTGTAGGACTGAGATGTAATCACAATTGATTGATCACTGGGTGACCAATGTCATGCGTGTCTAGTCCTTATTATTAGTGCAGATCGAATGCTATCGATCATGTTGCAATGTGGCCACCAGTCTAGGTGACTCGACACTGCGGGCACTATTGTAAGATTAGATGGTGGTTGGAGGTAGTCGACAGGAAACATCTCAGTCCTACAGGAGGTTGGTCGCGGCCCGGATAGCTCAGTGGTAACGTCTCTGACTGTGAAGCTGGGTGACACGGGATCGAATCCGCCAGGGAGCACCAGTTCCCTCAAAGATTACAGGTACACCTTGCTGACGAGTGCCAAGTAGCACGAAACCCGGGTCCAGGGTTTCCTGTCGACTACCTCCAACCACCATCTAATCTTACAATAGTGCCCGCAGTGTCGAGTCACCTAGACTGGTGGCCACATTGCAACATGATCGATAGCATTCGATCTGCACTAATAATAAGGACTAGACAAGCATGACATTGGTCACCCAGTGATCAATCAATTGTGATTACATCTCAGTCCTACAGGAGGTTGGTCGCGGCCCGGATAGCTCAGTGGTAACGTCTCTGACTGTGAAGCTGGGTGACACGGGATCGAATCCGCCAGGGAGCACCAGTTCCCTCAAAGATTACAGGTACACCTTGCTGACGAGTGCCAAGTAGCACGAAACCCGGGTCCAGGGTTTCCTGTCGACTACCTCCAACCACCATCTAATCTTACAATAGTGCCCGCAGTGTCGAGTCACCTAGACTGGTGGCCACATTGCAACATGATCGATAGCATTCGATCTGCACTAATAATAAGGACTAGACACGCATGACATTGGTCACCCAGTGATCAATCAATTGTGATTACATCTCAGTCCTACAGGAGGTTGGTCGCGGCCCGGATAGCTCAGTGGTAACGTCTCTGACTGTGAAGCTGGGTGACACGAGATCGAATCCGCCAGGGAGCACCAGTTCCCTCAAAGATTACAGGTACACCTTGCTGACGAGTGCCAAGTAGCACGAAACCCGGGTCCAGGGTTTCCTGTCGACTACCTCCAACCACCATCTAATCTCAATACATAGTGCCCGCAGTGTCGAGTCACCTAGACTGGTGGCCACATTGCAACATGATCGATAGCATTCGATCTGCACTAATAAGGACTAGACAAGCATGACATTGATCACCACCCAGTGATCAATCAATTGTGATTACATCTCAGTCCTACAGGAGGTTAGTCACGGCTCGGATAGCTCAGTGGTAACGTCTCTGACTGTGAAGCTGGGTGACACGAGATCGAATCCGCCAGGGAGCACCAGTTCCCTCAAGATTACAGGTACACCTTGCTGACGAGTGCCAAGTAGCACGAAACCCGGGTCCAGGGTTTCCTGTTGACTACCTCCAACCACCATCTAATCTCAATACATAGTGCCCGCAGTGTCGAGTCACCTAGACTGGTGGCCACATTGCAACATGATCGATAGCATTCGATCTGCACTAATAATAAGGACTAGACACGCATGACATTGGTCACCCAGTGATCAATCAATTGTGATTACATCTCAGTCCTACAGGAGGTTAGTCACGGCTCGGATAGCTCAGTGGTAACGTCTCTGACTGTGAAGCTGGGTGACACGAGATCGAATCCGCCAGGGAGCACCAGTTCCCTCAAGATTACAGGTACACCTTGCTGACGAGTGCCAAGTAGCACGAAACCCGGGTCCAGGGTTTCCTGTTGACTACCTCCAACCACCATCTAATCTCAATACATAGTGCCCGCAGTGTCGAGTCACCTAGACTGGTGGCCACATTGCAACATGATCGATAGCATTCGATCTGCACTAATAAGGACTAGACAAGCATGAGATTGATCACCACCCAGTGATCAATCAATTGTGATTACATCTCAGTCCTACAGGAGGTTAGTCACGGCTCGGATAGCTCAGTGGTAACGTCTCTGACTGTGAAGCTGGGTGACACGAGATCGAATCCGCCAGGGAGCACCAGTTCCCTCAAGATTACAGGTACACCTTGCTGACGAGTGCCAAGTAGCACGAAACCCGGGTCCAGGGTTTCCTGTCGACTACCTCCAACCACCATCTAATCTTACAATAGTGCCCGCAGTGTCGAGTCACCTAGACTGGTGGCCACATTGCAACATGATCGATAGCATTCGATCTGCACTAATAATAAGGACTAGACACGCATGACATTGGTCACCCAGTGATCAATCAATTGTGATTACATCTCAGTCCTACAGGAGGTTGGTCGCGGCCCGGATAGCTCAGTGGTAACGTCTCTGACTGTGAAGCTGGGTGACACGGGATCGAATCCGCCAGGGAGCACCAGTTCCCTCAAAGATTACAGGTACACCTTGCTGACGAGTGCCAAGTAGCACGAAACCCGGGTCCAGGGTTTCCTGTCGACTACCTCCAACCACCATCTAAACTCACAATCTCCCCACGGATTAAAACTAGGACCCTTGAGTCTCTCAGTGAGCTTGTTATCCTTTAATCACTTGATCAGCATCAAAAATCTCACATTTCTAACCTCAGTCACTTCACGATAGTCCCATTGTTCCAATGTATAGAGCACCTGGATCCGATCCCCATTCGACTCGTAGGTGCGTCATACTACGTGATCTGTTAATAAGACGAAACGATCTCTATCTCGTTGAGGCCAGTCCGCGATACAAACTCCATCCAGGTTCATCCATTTCTACAAACCTCCTATCATAATAGTAGTATGGCTGTTTGGGAGTCATGTCTCCCATTATCATTGAACATGGATAAAAAATCTTTGGGCCATGAAGTTACAAGATTATCTGAATTATCGATAGAAATAAAAATTTGTTTCAAATAGTCGGTTGACTTGTAGCTAGACAAATGTTCGTTCAATATTTTTGCCTTAATTCTTTCACCATTCATTCATTCCGTAACCTTAGTCCAATTTTTGTTACTAATTAATACCGGTCTTTAATAATATCACTTACTAGTTGAGCTATATCACTTGGTTACTGTACACAATAATCGTCATCAGTTTTTGAGAACTATGGATAATATTTAATAATAGTGGTTGCGTTTAATTCTGTCCGAATCTCGTCAGTTGTGTGCCGGCATCTCAGTGCTGATGTCTATACAAAGACTCAAACCTAGAATATTTTTGCTCTAAATAATAACACGTCATCTATTGAGTTTCTGAGTCTCGATAGTTATTAACTTGTTTAACGCGTATAAAATTATTAGTAAGAGTTTGTACTTTCCTGATTTTTAAGGTACGTCTGTCTGATGAGTCCCCCAAAAAATGAAATATGCATTTTGAATTCTATTGCTTCTAATTGTTTACTAATTCTCTTCAGTTACTTTACTGATTCAGAAATTATTGAAACTCTTATCCAACTTTTTTTCGTTAAATAAATCATATTTATGACATCAAATGTAAAGCACATTTATATCATAATCTTGATCTGAATAGATAATGAATTGATTTTGTAATTGCTATCTGGAGAACAGTGGAATTTCTCTCTTTGCATTTTTCATCTTTAAATATTTCCAACTTCTTTTTTTTTTCTTCTAGATATGGATTTATAAGGGAAATCCAAAAGAAGTATAAAGTAAGCATATATGATACTGAATGTATCAGTTTATTTTCGATCTAGTGTTGTTGTTGTATACGTATCTTCAAAATAAGTATTTCATAGTTGATCATTCAGTTACATGATAGCTAATCAAGTTTCATATCAAATAGCTCAAATAATAATTTATAGTTTAACGTTTTTATACCATAGTAATATTAATGTTAATAATAATAATAATAAAAAATTCTTTACTTCAACTTTATCATAGATGATTTCTTAGTACACATATTATACATATATATATATATATATATATATATATATATATATATATATATATATATATATATATATATCGCAACAGGAGGTACAACTACGTAGAAGTTAAGTTAGCCTTTCGAAACTATGCTGAGACTTGATAAAAAATCAATCCACTGAAGCTGATACAACTTTCTAAATTAGTAAATTCTTCAATGAGCTAGAATATTTTACTTGGTTTGATAATATTATGTATTGATTCAAAAAGCACTTTTATAAGTATATTTTTATAGAGATTAGAAAATATTAGTAGCACCTGGTTAATTACCCTATTATGGAAGTATTAAGCAAATCTTGAGAAAAACTGTGTTAAAAGTCTGCATTGCAGAAGATCACTTACTAATTATAGATATGAAGTAGGTTTTAGCTGGAAAAAAAGCAAGTAACTAGACAAACAGTTTCAAATGATACACTATTTTATTGTTACGTCATTTCTGAACTATCTACGTTTAAATATACAAGAATTATCACCCTCATAATACTTTGCTAATGCTTACTTACTTACTACTGTTACACCCAATGGAGCATAGGCCGCCGATCAGCATTCTCCAATCCACTCTATCCTGAGCCCTCCTTCCTAATTTTGTCCAATTGTTGTTCATTCTTCTTATATCTATCTCCATTTCTCGGCGTAATGTGTTCTTTGGTCTTCCTCTTTTCCTTTGACCTTGAGAATTCCATGTGAGGGCTTGCCTTGCGACGTAGTTGGGTGCTTTCATCAATATTTGTCATATCCAATTCCAACGCTTTTTCCTGATTTCTTCACTGGAATCTAGTTTGTTCTCTCTCATAGTAGATTGTTGCTGATACTGTCTGGTTAACAGATCCGAAGTATTGTGCTTAGACAACTGTTTATAAACACTTATATCTCCTGAATGATGGCTTTCGTAATTCTCCAAGTTTCCGCTCCATACAGTAGAACTGTCTTGACATTTGTATTGAAAATTCCGACTTTGGTGAAGGTTGACTGTTGTTTTGAGTTCCGGATGTTCTTCAATTGTAGACAGGCTGCTCTTGCTTTGTCGACCCGCTTATTCACATATTACAATGGAAATTAGATAAAAGTATAGAGATGACAATAAGAGAAACACAAGAACTACTCTTGAGTTTTTGAGTAAAACTTCCATATACTTGTGATACAAATGAATAATAAATGAATTTCATTATTATAATAAATTCACATTAATGAATAAATTAAATACAGTCTATAACAAATTCGTTGTTATTTCAAATATTATAAGAACCTAAAACTTGTCTTTCAACTGTCAACACATATCCGATATATTATATTATTAAATTACTATTCGCCATCACACTTGATGGCGAAACTCTGGAATCCTTCACATACCTGGGAAGCATCATCGATGAACAAAGAGGATCAGATGCAGACGTAAAGACGAGAATTGGTAAAGCGAGAGCCGCACTCCTACAATTGAGGAATATATGGAACTTAAGACAACTGTCAACCAATATCAAAGTCATAATCTTTAGTACGAACGTCAAGACAGTTCTACTATACGGGGCTGAAACTTCGAGAACTACTACGACCAACATTAAAACAGTTTAAGTATTTATAAATAGTTGTCTACGCAAGATACTCAACATCCATTGGCCGGATACCATCAGCAATAGTCTTCTATGGGAGAGAACAAACCAGCATCCAACTGAAGAGGAAATTAGGAAAGGGTGATGAAAATGGATAGGACATACATGACGCAAATCATCAAACTGCATCACAAGGCTTGTATTAACCTGGAATGTTGAAAGGAAATGGAAAAGAGGAAGGCCAAAGAACACATTGCGTCGGGAGATAGAACCAGATATGAAAAGGATGAATAAGAACTGGAAAAGATTGCCCAAGACATGGTTAGATGGAGAATGCTGGTGGTCGGTCTATGCTTCTCTACGAGGAGTAACAGGCGTAAGTAAGTAGTTTAAGATGTAAAGTTTGATGTTGAATTTTGTTTATACCATTTATTAGCTTGTTGCATGTATTCATGGTTATTGTTATATTAAAAAGTATAAAGAGCGTATTATATACATTTGAATATAAGAATATTTTATTTCTATTTGTTTAGTCTTCAGCTGGTATGCTAGTAAAATGTTTTGCAGAATTTTATCGTTATCTTCCGGTGGCCACATTAATTGACGATAAAATTTTTGTCTGTCATGGTGGTATATCAGATAAAACTGATTTGAACACATTAGGAGATTTAAACAGATTCTCAGTAAGTTTTAATGTTTTCATAGCCTATAAATTAACTCTATTAATGACAAACAATGATGTTTAATGAAATATAGCTCCAATTTAACATCGTGTATACTTTTTTGACTTATTACATTAATTCAACTTAAAAATAAAAAGGGCAGTCAGAAATGTGTCTAGAATATGTATATCTCAGACATTTGTGTGACCAGATTAACTGAGCAAATGAATATGGCAACTGGCATTTCAGCTAAAATTAGTGAATAAATGGGTGACTCGATATTTGTAAAGAATCTATGAAATACAAGTAAATAGATATGCAAATACGTACTATTATGTACAAATTTATAATGGTATTTAAAGACACTAGTGATAAATTAACAAAACTATATGAAAATGTAACCAATAAGAATAAAATTGACTATCTATCTAGAAGGCAGAATAATTTACTCTGGGCTGTAATTTCTCATTTAAAAGAAGTAAGATGGTTTATTGATATGCGGTTTTTTCGTGAATAGTTTAGTGACATTTTTTACTTGTTTGTTTTATTAATAATAACACAGTAACTTTGTTAAATCATACTTACTTACTTACTTACGCCTGTTACTCCTCGTGAAGGAGCATAGGCCGCTCACCAGCATTCTCCATCCAACCCTGTCCTGGGCAATCCTTTCAAGCTCTTTCCAGTTCTTATTCATCCTTTTCATATCTGCTTCTATTTCCCGACGTAATGTGTTCTTTGGCCTTCCTCTTTTCCGCTTCCCTTCAGGATTCCAAGTTAGCGCTTGTCTCGTAATGCAGTTTGATGATTTCCTCAATGTATGTCCTATCCATTTCCATCGTTGTTAAATCATAGTATTACTAATTTTCTCAATAAAGGAGCTGTGGCTAAATGATTAAAGCTTTTAACTTTCAGTCAATCAATTGTCAGTTCATACTTTTCTACATCGCCTACTTCGGTTTGGGCAAACGAGTAGTATCATTTACTCCACAATATGTGGTTGGATGTTAGTTACACGAATCTATACCTAATAAATAAGCTAAATAAGTAATATGGATACTTCATTCATCTATAGTATTTACAGTTCTATGATGTCCCAATAGTTGAAATTTCTTTATTCTAATAACATAAAGAAATATATATATAAAGCAATGCGTATTTACTTCATTAATCTTCCTTGATAAATACAGGCGACCTTTACTAGCTCGTTGTATTATATGTGTAAAAGATTGTCTTTTTTTGAACATGTATGGTAGATTTATTTCATTACACTCCATTGTATAAATGATAAGATATCCAACTAGAAGATAATAGCTAAAGTTTTATGGAAAAAAAATGCTGACTAACAACAAAAAAGCAAAAAAAACGTATTGCTTCACTTTATACGATTGTCCACCTTTTCCATAATTTACATTTACATTTTAAAAGTTCTGAATTTGAAAGAAGCATTTATTTTATACAAAGTTACAGATAGCTTTTGATTGTAACTTTCATGTATTGTCAGACTGGTTCAAAATTCTTATTGACTTATTCATAATCTAAAATAGGTGATACATTAGAAATCTAAAAATGAATGAATGAGAAGCCGTGACCAATGGAGTTCAACCGTATCTGTTATGAGGCAGTTACTCACTGAGGATAATGGTGGACGGACGCTCAATATCATGGATTGATAGAAGTTAGACATTGACACTGTTGGATGCCGACTCAGTGGTCTAGAGGCTAAGCATTCGCGTGCGAGACCGAAGGTCCTGGGTTCGAGTCTCGTGTTCAAGATAGTGGGTGCACACTGCTGAGTAGTCCTATACTGGGACGAAACGATCATTCAGTGCTTAGAGATTTTCCGTGGTGGTCTAACATTGATCTATTCATGATATCAATCTAAGATACCAATATTTTGAATAAAAAAAGAGAAAGTTCTTATGATAAATGAGTCAGAAGTAATGATTCTAATGTTAAGAGCAAAGAAAAGAAATATTTTAGTCAATGTGAAGGTTTTTCATATTGTAAATGAAGAAATACATGGTAAAAATTTATCACCGTTGTGTTTTTCAACAACTTCTTGTGTTTATAAATAATGTGTAACATGGCTTCCGTGATAATGGAATGTCAAAATTAAGACCAATTTATAGCAGACGACAAAAATATACAATGAGTTATCATCTCCGCTGTATCCTTTAAACACATGTAACTGAGCCCTGGGATAAATCAGATAGCTTTGCTCAACAATTTAGACAATCCTTTTTGGGTCATCAATAATCAAATGAAGTCCTCAAATTTCCTTAGCTTTCTGAAGTCAGATATTACAAATGGATCGGAGAGTTTTCAGCATTTCAGTGTTTTAAAACCTATGTTTTGTGGCTAAACTAACATGATGATTGTGCAAAAACTAGTCCAGACCAGCAAAACACTTTCTAACGCCTTCCTTGCAAGAATTGATGTTGTCACCTATGTCACAATCAACGATCAAATGGATACACGAAATTCTTGATTATTCTTGACGACTCACTACTAAGAGTGGGTGGAATCATAGTTTCTCTGAGTCTTGTTAAAGTATTTTAGACTTGGAAGATAAAAATCATCACAGACTCTGATCATTAACTGAATATGGGTGATTCAGATTATTTGTATGACAGTAAAAATATAGGTTATATCAACTCTATACGCAAAATATGAACATTCTTTTCCAGATTATATGTTCACCATCGCATCAAAAATGGACATTAAGGACTTTATGAACAATTTAATCCTAAAACTTGCCGGAGGTGTGTTGCTTTTCTGATTAATCTTTTCTAATCCCCTACTTTGATAGTGACGAAGCAGCGTCACTGCAGATACTGGTTGTTTGAGAAGAATACCTTACTATTATCACACATTTGTAAAGTCGGCAGTGTGACTTCGCCCACTGACAATGATGTTATGCTTTTAACTTTACCATTCTTCAAGAAGTCTGCCTGCCATGGTACAGCTTAAAGGAACAAGTGTTTTACCCGGTATAGCTCAAGTGGATCATCATCATATTCAGATCGTGTAATCATGTTCAAGTATTAGTCACAGTAGATAAAGTCTGAAATCGATCTAAATTACCTCAATAAAACACATTAACTGACAATCAAATTAAAGGTTTGTACCAAAAAGATTAAAAACTAAAAGTAATGTCATTTATTACTTAATTTGTTCCCGTCTTTCTTTTTTGTTTTATATATTTAAACAAATACAAAAGTACCTTACACTTTTAAAGCCAGTCGATCAATTAATCTCAAACAGTGATAGTAAGAAACAGGTAAGATAAATAAAAATTGAAAAAAGTTGTGGTGCACTTTTTTATCTAATGATTTTATAAACAAAACTAGTTATCTATTCGAACAGCTAATGACAAATTCATAATTTCAGAGGGGGTTTTGTGGATATTATAGTAATTTTCATAGTTGAAATCATGAGTCGATTGAAGTTAAACCAACAATGGAAAACCTGGAAGCACTGGACTCATTATCTCAACTATTAAAATTACTATACTATCCACAAAACCCCGTTCTGATAATAATAATCATCAAGAGATATTTCCTGGAGTTCTAGTGAGAAGCAGTGACCAGTGGAGTTCAACCGGGTCTGTTGTGAGATAGTAACTTACTGAAGACAATGGTGGATGTGTCGCTCAATTTCGCGGATTAACTAAAGTTAGACATTAACACCATTGAATGCCGGCTCAGTGGTCCAGTGGTTAAGCGCACTGGGTTTGAATCTCGCTAGGTGGAGTCATGGATGTGCACCTCTGAGGGTCCCACAATAGGACGAAACGGCTGTTCAGTGTTTCCAGGTTTTCTGTGACGGTCTAGCTTCGATTGACTCATGATCTCAACTATTAAAATTCATTATTATTCAACAAGGTTGTAATCAACGAGAACATAGATGACGACAACCAATTGTATTATATCTGTTGGCATAAGTAGCATACACCACAAAATTTCTAATCCAAGAATTTAAATTTCACACGAAATTTGCTCTTCATATCCAACTGACTTTCAACTGTTTTCACACAAAATAATTGTGCTTTCTGTAGTTCATGCTGTTATAAAGTATCGTTTCAAGTATTTAGAAATAATAGTGAATTATGACTTATAGCAGTAGTAATTGCATAGGATGAACATTATTTAACAAATTAGAATAAGCTATGCATTTTCTGTTCATTTCTCATGAAGTTTTGTACTCTGAGCTGGATGGTTTGGTCGATGAAAGCTCCACGACCAAACCACTTAACTCAGAGAACAAAACTTCATCAAAAACATCCACCTGACCTACAAATCTTCACCATCTCATTTTCTGTTTGTAATGTTTTATTTAAGAAAAAATGCCAAAGATATCATAGTTTTAAAAGTTTTTCTTCACATTGAATATTACACATGTCAACGATTGAATTTAAATGATTAAATCATTAAATACCAGTTAAGAACTATGCGGTAGTCAAGAGATCTCACAGTCTCAAGTAGGATGGTGCACAATAGGACGAACTAGGTGTCTATTTTAACCCGAGCTTCAATGGTTAAGTATGTAATGTCTGTTCGTTATGTTAGCCACAAAATGTAATCATCTCTGCTAACTAACCTAAAATTACTTACAATTGGAATGTACATTTTCTTTTTTTCATCATTTACCTTATGATTACAGTATCAAGACTTACTTTGGAGTGATCCACAAACACAATCAGGATTATTAATGAATGAAAGGCGTGGTTTAGGGTGTTCATTTGGTCCTGATATTACAAACTTATTTTTGAATAAACACAATTTAAGCCTACTTATTCGTTCACATGAATGTAAACCTGAAGGATTTGAATGGTCACATAATAAACAGTTATTAACTATATTCTCAGCATCAAACTATTATACAGATGGTTCTAATCGTGGCGCCATTGCTAGAATTTCTGTTGATGGTTCTATACAAATAATACAATATGTAACTGGTGGACAGAAAAAATTCAAAACACTAAGACAAAAGTAAGGAGTTATCTATATATCTGTTTCTTAAAGTACTCTACTCTCACCTATAATTAAAAATATTTCTTTACGCCTATATGTACAGAGGATGGTTGCGGATATTTTGAGCAGAAATACATATAACAAAGACATAAATGACACATTAGAACATTTCAAAACCGATAGTTCATTTACTATTCATATTTTAGGTTATTCAAAAGTTCAAACAAATCCTTAAAAATCATAAACGTTTTTTCTATCCCTTGTTGAATTCCACTTTCCCACTTTAAAATATATTGAACTCTACATCCAAATTAAATCTAAATTATTGATCATTGGATTTGATTGTTTGAACAATGTACGTTATTAGTTATTATGTTTTATGACATCTAGTCTTACTAGAATTATAATTCATCTTTACCTCATAAGTAATCTTCTTTAAAAGTGAAGAAAGTATTCAGGAAGGTTTTATTTTTTACATAGAACGACATTTTTTCCCCAATTATTCTAACAAACAAGTCATGATAAATGTTAACTAACACGAATTAATAAGTTCAACATACTTTCTAGATTATTTTCAACTATTAAACATCAAAACACTACATCATTTGATAGAAATAGAACCATTGAACTTATATACAATCTCTTCCCACTTTTACAGTTTCGTACACTTCATTGTACTACACTGTGACAGAAGACAAAATCTTAGTTGACAATTTTTGGATAGAAAATGATTGAAATTTGATACTACTGCTACTTAAAAAGTTTTACAGTACAAATTCGTCAATTAATCTAATTAATTATTCACTTTAATAAGTAATATAAGCCAGTAGAAATATTGACAATTACTATACTAATTGAATGTTATAAACTTAAAATTTAGATTTGATGTTAATCTTATCATTTTAAGGAAAGAATTACGTATCATTTAATACACATTATTCACATTCAGATGTATTAGTTGTTGGACAATCGAAGTCCACAATCCATTTTTTTGATGTAAGCACCATTGACGACAAACGTCTTGCTGAAATTCAATACTCCAGACCATTATATGAAATAATCTGTACATAGTACGTGATGCATATATCCGTTTGATTCCATTCGTAGTCCAGCAACTGCTGGTAGTCGAAAATGAAACTAGTAAACTTATCATGTCTCTAGTTATCTCAGACTTTTAATAGGTGACACAGAATGAGCATCAACTCTGGGATGTAGGTATATCCAGCTGACGAGTCCCAAATATGTTCAAACATGCTTCATGGATTCCATTGTTAGTTGCTATCCATCTTTTCGCATAACATATTTTCCATTATCACAGGATAATTGAGGAAAACATTAATAACTTTCGTAACCAACCCATTGTTTTTAGTAATTTTTAATATTACGTTTTTAAAATTATTGTTTATAAATAAGTGATATATAAAAATGAATAGTTTCGCCTAAATACATGTAAACATAGGGAGTTTTTTTTGCTCTTCACTACTTTTTTAAATAGAGTTTGTTGGGCTGAAGAATCAGCATTAACGGATTTAAAAAACAAAATCGCTGCTTATTCAACAGAATTGAAAAGAGAATTTCAATTACTTGATCCTACAAATACTGGTAATATTTATTTTTCATATTAACACCTATTCTATTATTATTATTATTATTATTACGATCGATAAATTAAGGTTCCTATATATGATCCCTAATTGAATAGTAGATACACATTATTCAGGAGTACCATACTAGTACTGAATATTGAACCAATATTTCTTCACTTTCAAAGGTTAGCTGACGAGTTTCAATCTGTGTGGTAAGCTTTAAAATTCAAAAAATTCCGCAAATCCACTTATACTAAACGAATGACATTTTGAAATGTTTAAATTATTAATATAAATCCCAAAGATAATTTTCATGATTAATTAATACTCATTAATGATTCATTCAAAATTGAGGGGATAAAGAAGAGTTTTTTAGTTTTAATCTAGAACTATCATAACATTTTTAGAGCTTAATCAAACCTGAATTCTTCAGATCTCTTAACAAGCATTATATATTTAATATAAACTGTGTTGGAATTTAATTCTCCCCAATTTCGATTTTAATCAAATTTCTATCTAACAAATTTCTATCAACATTTAATGTAATTTTATAATTTGGTTCTTTATTATTCCATTGATTGATTACGGTAGTCATGGTTTTCCTTTAAAACTTTGGAATTCCATTTCAAAGCTAGTCGTTAATAATCACATGTTGATAATTAAAGTTCATAGACTGTTGTAGTCATTTTTTAAGCAACTTTCATCAGTGATAGTTCTAACGTTGGTGTTAATTTGTGATAAGAACTACTTCCATAATGAACAAACATTTTTAGCAACCTAGTTAAGACGAAATAAAGCATCATTTGTGATGAACGAAAACACCATTGGTTTAAATGTGAAAAACATACTTTCAATCTTGCATTTGCAAAATGTCCATTAATTGTCTCAGATTTCATTGTTGCTATATTTCCATGCCAACTACTCTCTGTTTCTGTTCTCTTCTATTCGATCTTCTCAACCTTCTTCTGTCAGGCATTGCATTACTGATTGGCGTTATATATTACTTATGTCGACATAAGTAGCACACACTACAACATTACAAACTAATAATAAGATAATCTTGTACATTTTAATGAATCCATTATTTTAAAAGAGATAAAAAAGACCAATGTCTAATTTAAATAAAAAATCCAACGTCATCTTGAATCACATGTTATACTCGATTTTTTCATCAAAATTTATTGCACCATAAACAATTACTAAAGAGACTACTGAAAAATAAAACTAGTAGTTGAACAATGTTTTACTGAATCTCGATTTTATTTGAACGTGTATAGCTCAATAATATATTATTTAAACGTACACTTTTTTGATGATACAATGTTTTGAAATGTTGCTGATAAATTTGACCACAAAACAGTTACATATCTAATTGACTGTATTAGCACTGATTCAGCTCGTATAATCTTTATATCACTCATCATCAAGAGTGCTGGATTAATATTCTTCTACTGCTCCTTGATACATACTTCATAAATGCGTTTGGCAAGGCCGTTTCGTCCTACTGTGGGACTCCTCAGCGGTGTGCATCCACGACCTCACCTCCTGAGGGATTCGAACCCAAGACCTACTGGACTCGCGCGCTAGTATCTATCCACTAGACCACTGAGCCGGCATCTAATGATGTCAATGTCCAACTTCAACCAATCCACGGGATTAAGCAACACATCCACCATTGTCTTCAGTGAATCACTATCTCACAACAGACCCAGTGGAACTCCACTAGTCACTGTTTCTCACTAGAACTTCAAGAAATACCTCTTGAAGTCAGTCACTAGTGAGCATATGTTGATTCATACCAGAAGGGTTTTGTGGGGATTGTAGTAATTCCAATAGTTGAGATCACGAGTCAATTGAAGTTAGACCACCGTCGAAAACCTGAAAGCATTGGATGGCCGTTTCGTTCTACTGTGGGGCTCCTCAGCACTTCGCATCCACGATCCCCCTCGCGGTATTCGAACCCATAAGTCCATGATGAGTGATCTACAAAACAGCTGTATCTAACCCATACACAAATAAAAAACAAACAAAATTACTGTATTGTAATCAAAATGTCACATCTTATGATACTGAATAAATTGTTTACAATGAAAATGTTTTATTAATATTACTGTTACATCCTTAATCTGTCTACCTGCTTCCATGCAGAGGATAACTTGTCTAATCTAGATTAAGACCTTGACGCGTTAGGCTGACTAACTTAACCTTGAGGCTAGTATGCATGATTTTGAAATGACACTAACTGCTTGGGGTAGGGAAACGAAAACTATTCTCCCATCTGATTGGCTAACAAGCACGCAAGAGAAGACAAGTCAACTGCAACACTACTTGATTTATTCCCGATTTAAGGTTAATTTAAAAAGATACCTGAATAAATGAATGATTAACCAGACCACAACTTACCAATAATTAGGAAAATACAAGTACGTTGAAAGCTGAGGATTAGAGAAGAGAATAGAGTACAAAAGATTACGTTTAAATTACAATAGCTTTCGAACAGAAAAGGCTATTGCAGTAAATCATACATCAAACGAAAGCTTATGATCAGTAGAATAGACAAGGGACAAAAATTAATGTTATTGATTTACAAATTTCGAATTAAATGAAATAACGTCCCCGAAAATAGATTCCGTAGTTTTTCAAGGCTTCTTGATTCTCTGTTCACATCAATTACTAATGAATATCATTGTTAACTGGAGAGTTCTGTACATTTTCTCTAACTGTTTTATCTAATTACATAATTATCGTTTAAAATGTTTTAGTACATGAGAATAAAAAAATTTTTTATCTGTTTAAAACAATGTTAGTTCATAGAATAATTTCAGTTTTAAATGAATTAAGCCATCCAGTGCTTCCAGGTTTCCATAGTGGTCTAGCTTCAATTGACTCATGATCTCAACTAATAGAATTAAACTACCTAAAAATGGGTTTTTATAATTTTTATTAGACAATAACTATTAGAAGTTTATTTCAATAAAAGAAAACAAATTTTCTTTTATATTATTTGTGCTTATTAATTTTTAGGTAGAATTTCTAAGTTGGAATGGTGTAAAACAATGGAAAAAGTGCTAGATTTAAAGTTACCATGGAGTACACTTCAACCACGTTTAGTTGTTACATCTAAAATACCAAATCAAGTAGAATATTTAACAACATTTCAAAAACTTACTACTTATAATACCCCATCAAAGGTAAAATTATAGATAAATATTTTTTAACATTATATTACTAACTTACTTATATCTGTTACCCTTCGTGGAAGAGCATAGGCCCCTCACCAACATTCTCAATCGAACGCTGTTCTGACCCTTCCCTTCAAGTTGTTTCCGGTTACTATTCAGTCTTCCAATTCCCGAAGTAATATGTTTCTTGGTCCTTCTCTTTTCCGTTTCCCTTCAAGATTCCAAATTAGAATCTGCTTCATGATGCCGTTTGATGATTTACTCAGTATATGTCTTATCCACTTCCAACGGCTTTTCCTAACTCCTTCTCCAGATGGAAGCTCGTTTGTTCTCTCCCACAGTAGGCTGTTACTGATGATATCCGGTCAACAGACATTCAGCATCTTGAGTAGACAACTGTTTATAATTACTTGTACATTTTTGATGATGATTTTAGTAGTTCTCCAAGTTTCAGCTGTGTACAGTAGAACTGTCATGACGTTCGTATTGAAGATTTTGACTTTGATGTTGGTTAACAGTTGTTTTGAGTTCCATGTGTTTTTCAATTGCAAAAATGTTTCCCTTGCTTTACCAATCCTTGCCTTTAAGTCTGCAACTGATCCTCTTTGTTTATCGGTGATGCTGCCCAGGTAGGTGAAAGTTTCCGCACTGAGACCGACTTCTGTAATGGCTGTTGCTACACTGGCTGTCTTCACTTGCGTTTGTTGATGAATTTTAAAATACCTTGTATTCATCTATATTTCTGTTCAAATGCCTGAAATGTTATTATCTTGAAACCATTTATTTTCTGTACTCAGTAATTCTTAACAGGCAATTAAACTCAAAACTATTCTGATGACGTCGTCCAGAATGACAATGAAAGCTCTACAAACAAACCATTTAGCTCCGAGAATAAAACTTCATCAAAATCATCCACCTGAGCTACAAATCTTCACCATGTCATTCTTTGTATAAACTAGGGTATCTAACCGGCTGCTATTTTGAAACAGGGAAATAATCAAGTATATTTCATTATGACTGCCTATAAGCCGAAAACATATCGAATAATTTTCACTATTCAATGTTTTAATTAACCTTATAATTTCTATGTTTTGATTCTGGATTGAATAGCTTTCTAGTTCGTGAAATTCGATAATTCTAAATACATACTATAAAGCGCTTATTTCCATTGAAATCATGGTAAATACAAATCAAGTGTGAACTCTGTTAATAGAATTATTATATATAAATATATTTGTAAGTCGTAATCGTCACAGGTTGATCTCAGTTGGGATATAATCAAATACCAGTATACATTTGATGGCTATTGGATACGAGCATAAGACTTCTCAGTTGTGCACACCTAGGGTAAAGCAGGTGAACTTCAGGACCCATAACGAACGGTTAAGCATTGGAAGCATTTTGTTACAATAACGACCTTAACCAATTAAATAAATTATACGACAATCATACTATGCCATAAGAAACATCTGTTTTACCCTCAACTTTTTTGAAATTCACCGGCTACAACTTCTCACTGAACTTCAGAAACATCTGGCAATATATCACTGGTGAGCTTTCTAATATATCTTATTCAAAAGAATTTTGTGGAGATTGACTCGGTTTATAGTTTGCATCTGTCTTAGATTGGTCGCTGCCAACACTTTAATTTCATGGTAACTTTAGAGATAAAAGTTAGTTGCCATTAAATTCTTGCAGTTGATCGTCATGGTAATAATAGACACCTGTAATAAACTATCTGTAAAAGTTTTCTGTTTTCCCGTTTTTGATCATAGAGATTGTGATTGATTGGTCTCTATTGGCATATATACATTTTCGATATTGCCATTTAATTACCGGTTGTTTTCTAACCTTGATACATCCGAATGATGGGCCGTAAATAAGACAAAACCTGCATTCCGAACTCTTCTGCCAACTCCTATTTAAATCAAATAGAAACTTGCAGTAAACAAGATTTGATCTTCAAATATCAAACAGGAAGAACATAGAACATCTGACGTTGAGTCACTTAGACTAGTAGCCACATTGAAACCTAATCGATAGAATTCAGTCGACACATAGAGAACTAAACAAACATGAAATTAGTTACTGCTCAATGATCAATCAATGTAGTTGTCTACTTTGTAAGTATATTTACCGAGTCAGTTTGTCTAAGGAAGAGTAAATCGGAATTCAATATGAAGTAAATAATCTATTGCATTGAAGCCCTTTTTATGATTTTAAATATTATAATTAATTTCACTATTCATTTATCATTCTAACTTCCATACTCAGGGATCTTTCGACACATATAAACTTTAAATTGTCTCTTAGTTGGTAAACAATTTTTTAGTATATGCATGAGTTTTAAAATTTCTTATTTAATCAATTTTTAAAAAAATACTGTTTATTTACTGATGAAACAAGGTGCCACCTTCAGTCACTGAAGAAATGTATAAATTTCGTGATGTACTTGAAGGAATCTTTCGAGCAATGGATAAAGATAATTCAGGTAAGTTGACTTTATATTTATACTACATTTTGAAATATGTATACATCCGATGATAAACAAATCAAAAATTGCAGTGCACAAACGATGCTTCGAGGACATCTATGATCGACCACTAGTAACATGTGAATATCCTTAATTTTTAATGTCCGTGCTTCACATCTATAAATCAGAAAACTTATCTTTTGGTTTACAAATGAATATCTTCCCTGCATCACAAATGACGCAAGTTGGTAAAGTCAACCGAGCCGAGTTTTCATCAGACACCAACCCACCAAGCCTGTTAAGATCTTTAAATGGTATTGGATTCATCTTCTGTCTTTAATATGTCTATTGGGCCTGATTAAATGTGAGCAATATTCACTCTGAGATATTTCATGATCCTTATCGGAATTTCAGAAAATCGACATTAGGTAGGATGGTCAGTTGGATCGTAAAAATGATCCGACTCAGCATTCCTGAAATAATTTTAAGGTGCTTATTTCTATTTGAAGTGGGAGTTGATGTTGTTTCTGAACAATATGAAGATCTCTGCAACTGAATCATTTAATTTAGTGAACTCAAAACTGACAAAAATGCTTAGTTGTTTTAGTTTATTACCTAATGGGTTAAACACTTAGTAACATAATTCCTGTTTGACCTAAGACATATACTAAATCAGAATTGACACGAACACTCGATAAAAATGGTCATAAAGCAATGAATTTCAATCCATCTAAATTGATCTGTAGAAAAATCTTATGTAAAACTTACAATTTTTGTAAATCCCTAATAAGACTAGATCTTGGACAGGGAAATTGAAAGCTCTCTTCATATAATCTCCAATTCACAAGTGGTAAGACAATCAAAACTACACGTTTTCATCAGTCAGTACTTTACGATAGCATACTTTTAACTCATTATCTTTAACAGTAAAACGTTGTGAAGACTATTAAATTTTACCGAGATCACGAACAGACCTAAGTAAGAGGACCATTGAAAGCCTCGAAGCACTGAATGATCGTTTGTTCCTAGCATGAAAATCTGGCAGAGCTCAGCCACAACCTCGCAACCGGGATTCAAACTTAGGATCTTTTACCTAGCACACGAACTCATAACCTCTATACCAATGAGCCGGAATCCAATATTGTACTTTCATCAGTTCACCATATTGAGCGACTATTTATCACTACCTTCATTGGGTAACTTCCTCATATTCGTCAAGGCTAACTGAAGGTTGATTTGAACTTAAGTGTGTGAGTTCGATTCTTGAAGACCCAGTACACAAGAGCTCCAACTAGAATAAAACAACCATCCATGACTTTTAGATTTTCAATGATTATCTAACTCAGATCGTTTCAAGATTTCAACAAAATAATCAATTTAAATTAATACTTTATTTTCTAATACACAAACATATAGGTCGAATCTCATTAAATGAATTTAAACAAGCTTGTTTACGTTTACCTAAATGGACAAAAATAGATGAACAAATAGTGATGGATATGGCACGTTCAATCGATATTAATAAAGATGGTTTAATTGATTTCAATGAATTTTTAGAAACATTTAGATTAGTTGAATCCGATCATGATCATTATGAATCATTAACTGATCAACAAATAGATGAGTGAGATCATCGGATTTTTATTTTTTTTTTAAAAAAAGAAAGACGTTTCTTTATTAATAAATTGTATAGAAAATAAACTGTTTAAGTAGATTGGTGCTACCATTTCTGTTTATTATTTTTGATCTAACTAAATAAGGATAGTGTGCTTATGCTTTTGTAGATTTCTATCCTTCAATTTTAATTCCAGTTTTCAGAAAACATAGTATTCCTTACTTAAGATATATAAAAGGTAGAATACTCTATTTTGAAAGGTAAATATTAATCTGTATATGAATTCATTATCTTATGAAACTTGCTAATTATTCAATTATAAACCACGACAAATCATTAATTGTTTTAATTCTCTATTCATTTGTGTTATGATTACATGATTTGCATAATTGAAATAAGCAAGAGCTTTTAACACTTGCAAAATTTATATTTCAACGCTTAGTGTTTCTTACTTTTTTTGTGTGTGTACAGTCAACCACACCCAGTTGGTAAAAAAAAAAAGTATTCACTGCAACCTCGCCTACCTTTCTTCTTCTTCTTCGTCTTCTCACGACTTTTTTTGCGTTGTGTTCTGTCTTTTTAAGTGTACTTTTTTTGTATAAGCAAGTTTATGTTATGGATAGTGGATCGATTTGTCGATTGATTTTAATTACCTTTATTTTGTAAATAAAATTGTCTCTGATTTTCTCTTTTTTATCGCCTTAGAATGTTCTCTTTGGAGAAAATGCATTATTTTACACTATTGAATTGATTAACTGTTAGAAAGCCTTATAGATTATCACCATCATATGGTTTGATGAATACTTTCAGAATAGAAAATTGGAAGATTTTACTTTACTTATGTTTTTAAATCATTGTGAAACGAAAACATATTGTGTAGTTTTTATACGTCTTTACATTTTTCTTACTATTAGGTAACTAAGTGTAACTAGAAAGAGGCTCTAGATTTGTGTTCCGAGTTACTTGGCACTCAATCATAAATCTTGGGTCATTTCTCTAGGGTAATGATTATCCACTTGTGATTACCTAGTAGATGGATATGATAATGGTGAATGGTATACGCTGACAATGTACTCATTAAAAACGAATATAATTGTTACCCCCTCAGTATTTTATGTCTCAATGAGTCATAAGAATATTAAAAAAATACATATGCCCTTTGAATGTAAAAAATTATTATTCAGAAATAATACAACTACTCATATACATTTACGATGGACCTAATATTTTGTGTGATGGATTGAGCTTTTCCGTTGACAGTATGAAGGATTTTATTTGAACGGTCTCAAATGACATATGTACATCCCGATCAAATACACTTCATAATGTCAACAGAGCGAAAACCGAAACATTTACATATGACTTTATACCCACTCAATAATCTAATTATTTTCTAAACTCCGTAGCTAAGTGAGTAATCCATTGACATTCAAAGTACTGATTTTGATTGCCAGAGTGAATATTAAGGATGGAATGTACGTAAATATGATAAAGGGAGCTTCCTCGACTCTACCACTTACCACAATCCAATTTTGCTATAACCTAAAGTTACTATGAGAAGATGACTGAATAATTTATTTTAGTTCAACAACCGAATATATTATTCAATACATAGTATGAATCCAAAATTAGGATGGGAAGATACCTATTTCAATTACCAATGGCTTATAATGCAAATTTATTATTAAGGTACTTTTAATAGAGTAATGCTGATATAATGTTGCTACTTAAACTGCGATAGTCAGATTTCTTTTCACCCAAACATCTAAATGTAAAATAAATCCCATGCAAAATGGATTTATGTTATTTCTCTTCAGGCATCTGAACAGTGAATGTGGGTTTTTGTTACCCTAAATGATTGTTCACAGTTATCTTTTTTTTAACCACATGTACATTCATAAGAACCCATTCACATTGTCTGTGAAGAAGGTGGAAGATAGATAGATACTTCTTTCCAGATATGAACAGCCAATTGTTTTCGAAGGTATTCCAATTGATCTTCTATTAAGTGAGTCTACTTACAACAAAGTAACGCAATTCTAAATTAGGTTGGTTAATAGCTATCAGTAAGATACAGGACGTGTGTTTCATCCCATTTAGCACTGGTTAGCTGGTGTGCCTGCATCACACTGTTAATAGTCACACAGAGATCCAACCCCAGTACCTTTCGCTTCAAGCTCAACCTGTTATCCCCTTAGCTCCAGTGACTTGAAAATTATTCTTCCTTGTCAAATATTTAGCTTTATTTGGTCATAATAAAATGTTAGAAAATATTAATGTTTTAATTTCATGCCAGTTACTGCATCTTCGTTTGTTCAAAAACCTCTTAAATCATCTCGTTTAGATTCTGATTTTGAATTATATCTATCTGTTAAATCTTTTCATATCCATGGACTAATGCACACAGACTTTATTTCTATATCAATACGGACATTATATAATGGCTTAACTACATAAGTAATGCAAAAAATAATGTATTTACAGTGAATCATCTTTGCACTTTTTTATTCGTATGACTGTCTGTGTCTGCAGAGAAAAGTTGTACAATAGATTCAAACGATGCGAACAATAAACGTAGTAGCAAACGAATTAATGAGTATTGTTTAACACGTAAACATCCATGTGTAAGAGAAATAATGAAAATTTCTAACAATCAGTGCTAAAGTGGATAAGAGAGATAAAAGTATAAACTGATATCCGTAAATTTGGTCATACAAAACTTATTCCTACAAGCCTGAGTATAGGCTACATAACATTTGTCTGACAAGTAGCTAAATTTAGGGCTTTAGTTAATTTGAACATGTACAGACTTGTGAGTGGTGTAGGGCACTCTATATACTGTTTTATTACACCCATTTTGTCAGTGAGCTGTAAATTTGATGATTCAGTTGTCCATTTCATAAAATGCTCGCTAGAACGTCTTAAATCCGCATCAATTTAACGGGGAGTGGAATGAGAAGGTAATACCTTGTAGAATGATTGATTGATTATCTTTCACCTACTTTGTGATAAGTTTAGACAATGATTTTAGTATCAACCATTTTACACAAATCATCATGAATTTTCCAACTTAACATAAAAGATTTCCCATATAACTACTAACTGCAAAGTAATCCAAATAAAATACACATTCTGTCTTGACTACTTGTGAGTAGTCTAAATCGGTTGAAATGTTTTTAATCACTGAAAAATTCGCATCATACTACAACACAGATATATAATTGAAGAATATTCTTTTCAATAAATTCTCGTCAGGTTCCACAATTATATATCTAACTTGATAATCTAAAAAGTGGCTAGGTTTAAATCAAAATACAATGTTTAAAGTGATAGTATGTGAAATCAGGGTTGTTTGTAATATAAAATAAAATCGCTAATTCATGATCTCAATCAAAAACTTAATAATCTCCACAACCCCTGTACTGAAAATCGCTAATGTTTGGATGACTAATTTGAGGTATTGACTTGAATAAGTTTATACGTTAAACGAAATAGGGAGGATTATAATCAGAATAAATATGGTTAATATGGGTAATGTCGTAATTACAAATTAGAAATTATGTAATATTTAGTATATTATGGATTATGTATGATTTAGTAAATAGGGTTGGATGTTGGATAAATTTCTTAAAGCGTTTACAAGTATTATAATAGTAATGATAACAAAAACGATAACAATATGTGTGAATAAATTTAGTCTACGAAAATGCAGTGAGGAAGGTTGTATGAATATTAATCAAATTATATTACCATATCATCAAAATGATTGACTAATTAGGCTAGAAGTTGGCCAAGATAATAAAAGCGGTTGAACTTACTTTCGATCTAAATATTTATTGCTTCAGCCATCTGAAAGATTATAAATCTGAAGGATTTCAGCAGATCACTGTTAACACAATACGTTATTGTACATGATTGTTCCAGTTTGGCTGTATGACCCGTTTGTATTAAACAGGCTAGAACCCAGCCGTTAATATATTTTATTGTGCCACTGTGAGGTGCACGGAAATACAAATTCCTAGAACACCACCCAATATAACTTGCTACGCAAGAGCAGCTGGATTGATAGATACAGAAAGAGGTGGCTAGTAATTTATCTTTGGATCATGTAGTGACCATCGGACGTAGAGAAAACATTAATTGTAGTTTTCATGCATTAGATGTGCTTTGAATTTTTCTATTCAACGTTAGTATTAGCATTTCGCTATGTTCTTCGTTTCTAGATTGTAGGCGTATATATAGAGGTTTTACGCTCACAGTTATACCTTCCTAACGCTCTCTTATCATAGCTGAATGCTTATTCATAGACTTTTTCGGATATCTATTTTCTTTCAGATTAATACGTAATACCATTGTTTTTCTTTAACTGCATTTATGAACCATATAGTCTTAATTCCATAATGAAGTGTCTTAATCAGGTTGCTTTATACTGTTAAGAAACAAAATTAAGAAATTTATACGAATATTCGTCAAGATTAGAACGAATAGTTTGACAGATATTGGGCGCCGAGTATAGAGAAGTCATTATATATGTAAATTATATTTGAAACAATCTCAGCGATTGAAATTTAAAATAACTCCAACGTTTCGTCCAGCCATCTTGTCTGGACTTCTTCAGGGTAATAATCAAAATCATCAAAGAAATATGTAGCTTTTAACATTCATAACTGTACTTTGTTAAACCAATCAAATTTTTTGGATGTTGATTTTTGTAACATAGGATATAATGAGTCAGTTAACAGCAAATCGTGAGAAAAAATTCAACTACATGGTAGTAATTATCTGTAGTAAAATCAAGTGTATATATGTGTGTATATGTGAGTGCGTAATATGTATGTATGTGTGAGATTAATTATTGATATTCTGTGTTATTATGTTATGTATGGAAGGATAAGTAAATAAATAAATAAATAAATAAAAGTGCAAGTTCAAGGTTAATTAATTGTAAATGAATCATCGATGTACTTGTCATTATTTAAGAATCCAACATATACATAATTGTATTGCTAAAGCCTCATTGAGGCTTTTATTTTAAATTTCAATCGCTGAGATTGTTTCAAATATAATTTACATATATAAAATTAAGAAAATTTGTACATTGACCGGTCCAAGTAGTTTTATTTTTTAAGTCTCTTCTTAATGATCCATCTATCCTCCTTGCAAGTAAAACATCTAGAAAAGCTATTCTACCGCTATTTCATTCCTCACATGTGAATTTAATAGACGGATGAACTTCGTTAAATCTCTTGAGGGTCTTTATTCGGTCAGTATGATAGTTGAACTTATCGTACATATATCGACAGTCAAATGAAAACTTGTCAATATGCTGTGTCAGTAGACCGTTTTCTAGTTTAGTGAAATAAAATCTCAGCCATATGGAACTTAGTGATGAAGATATTGTAACACCATCTATTTGTCTATATATTTCATAATCGATTTTGTAGTTTACGTTCATGGTATATATCAGTAATAATTCCAAAATGAAGTCCACCAGGGATGTAGTCTCTCTATCTTGTTCTCTAAGTCATTCACACACATATATTCAACAATCTCCCTGAGTGGAACATTTGTAGACAATTATGTTAAGGACATCATCATTTGTCCTTTAGTATTTACGTTTTTGATCTTGTCGACGAACTAGAACACATCCTTAATATTATGCTTCGTTGTATATTTGTGGAGTGGTTACTAGCCACTTTACTACAGTATGCTAACGGGCATTGCACATGTCCAAAATTGGTCTCAATGGGATATCTGGTTTTTGTACCTATGGCGGTCAGTATAACCTTGGTATCAACTTAATTGTTTCGTTTGATGGAATTATCTGTTGACCCCTGAAGTTTTCTAAAGATCTGGTCAGTTCATCCTCTATCTTATTACTGCATCTTTCTAATCATTCAGATTTTGGAATTTTAAATGACCAGTCAAGATGTTATTCATCTTGTCAATGTAGTCTGTTTGGTTGAACAGGACAGTTCCCATTTCATTATCAGGTTTCGTAATCATCGAATTTTCGTCATTAGTAAGTTCACGGATAGCTTTGTGCTTTTTACTTAAAATGCTTCTGTAGTTATATCTGCTATTCTGAAATTGATAGCACCAATCAACTAGAAATGATCCAAAACACCCAAGACATTAATCAGAGGTCGGAACTAGATTTTAAATTGGATGTCTATATTTATTTATGCAATTTCGTTCATCACAATTTTAGATCTAGTGCTAATGATTCAATTTTACCATTATTTAATTAAATGTTGGAAAAATTATGAACGTACATTATAAGTTCAGTCGGAGATTTATTTTGAACTGGTTGATTTTCTATGCTTTTGAAAAGTTGGATACGTTTCTTCACTGATCTTTGCTTACTTATCTTTGTAACTTAATGTCCTCTGTTAATTTATCAACAGCATATTTCCTGTGAGCAATCTTTACTTCGATCACCTTCAAATCAGTATTTAATAAACCAAATTGGTTCAATGAATAATAATTCAATGTTGTTTTTTTTTTGATGAACTTGATTACGGCATATCATATACAGAAGTTTTGCATTATGACATGATTCAATACAGTTCCTAACAAATTCCAACGACGTTTTAGCTTTCGTGAACTCTGCGCTATACTTCGGAATTTCATCGAATGCATTCAACTCAATGGGTTGATCGTATTTTAATCGCAGAAAGAAACCCTATCACTAACGATTTTATTTTATATTATAGTCTTGAATTCACATGCTAGAATTCTAAACGATGTATTTTATCTTGAACCTGGCCACTTTTTTGATTAATAATTTGATATAATTGTAGAACTTAAAGAGACTTTATTGAAAAGAATATTGTTCGTTAATATACGTGTTTAAGAAATGTTTTTATTTAAGTATTATCCTCAAATCAGTAAAACATCTTGTGTAATTACGTAGACTTTCAGAAGGCACGATTTCACTAAAAAAAAATTAACAGGACCTTCAATCATGACAAGTAGAGCAGACTTTTTTCATTCAAACATCACTTTGTACACTATTACTGTACACGAGTTCCATTTTGCTATATGGTTACTCTCAGAAATTGACTCTGTGATTCCAGAATAACATACCTCGATCCAGCATAAAACTATGAAATTGATAATTACTATTCAGTAACATTTACTTGATAGTACTTCAGGGCCTACTAACATTTAATTAATTAATCTAACTTAGACATTTTGGAAGCAATAAACTTACTGAAATAAATGAATTATTTGATATTAATCCGTTAATTATGTGAAGTTCATTTATAATGTTGATTCTCTTAAGATATACAGACACATCTAGCTGACAAATACCAACTATCACGAAACCTATATCCAGAATTTCCCTTTAACCGCCTCTAACCACTTAATATCATACTATGAAAATAAAATTTATTAGTTCTGGAAAAACAACACCCATTAAGTACAGCATACTCCTATGATCTCGACAAAAAATTTGAATGAACAGATACACGGAGATCAGCAAATATAATTTCGGAAATAAAAAAAGAAGTTTGAACAAGAGACAAATAGGTAATTTTGTAAAGTCACATATGAAATTATTAATTAATACATAACAAACAGATAAAACGAAACAAAGAATAAGCACATATACAAAGAAATGTCAACGTGATAGTCTGTTTTGCAATGATTGTAAATCTGGAAAACGTATTTCCTTGAATTTCTGATGAAGATTTAAATCACGCATTGCTGAAACAGCCCGAGCTGGCGCTCCGGATAATCCAGACTAACATTTTTAACAAAAAAGGTAAAAAATAGGTTGATGACGTATACGTTCATGTCTTATGAATAATATAATCGGCACATCCAAAGTACCTAAATTCGTTTTTTTAAATAAGGGTGCATAGCGTTTACAATTTTACTTCAAATTTCACCCAAAACTCTTCTGGATATAAAACAAACTAGCTGCAATCGGATTATGAAACACAAGGATTCATACTCACTATTTGACTAATTATTTGATGATCAGCACGCTTATATATATATATATATATATATATATATATATATATATATATATATATATATATATATATATATATATATATATATATATATAGGCTCTTGTGTCCATTGAAACAAAACGGAATACATAGTTGTGGTGTGGGTTACCTATATATACACAAGTAGTATATAACGATGGTCAAGCATAGAATGTATTTCAGTAGAAGGTCAATGAGGAAAGAACAGGAACGGAACGCAATTGGTATGAAAACGTATGAACAATGAAATCTGAGACAATGGATTGATGTTTTCAACAGGAACAGTCAAGTCTGCGATGATGGATTGATATTTTGCGAATTAACAATTTACTATATGGTTCTCAAACTTTATTAAGATGCTGTAATTTATTGTCAAATACATTCGATTGTCCCCACTGGTGTTTTTGTTCACTGCAATATAACCGATAGATCCTTATTACTTCTATGGTACGTACTCGTACACATAATATCGTCACCTTTTACTCATGTACATTTTTTACAGGTATGCTAATCTATTTTCGTTTATTCATGTGAACTATGTACGTGGGTTGGTTAGTATTGCCAATCCCAAACACATACTCATGTGCTTATTCTCCAACTATCTCCTAATACGTTTTCTTGAAATAAAATCTCCCGTTGACATTTGTATTTGGCATTAATATCACCTTTATTCAAATGGCATTAGCTAAATTATTATATAAAAAATTAATAATGGGGATCAATAAATTATGGAGTCAGATGGGCCACAAAACACCATAACATAAAGACTCCCATGCAAGCCAACGGTCGCAAATCGCCGTAAGCAAAGAGAAAACCAACAGAAGCATAGATATGAATAAAAATAAAAACAATAACGGTTCGAGAAAAGATACACGTCAGTAGTGTAATGTCTAGAACTTTAGGGAAGATGTAAAATGAACAACAACAGCTTCTAGTTATCGCAAGCATGCAATCTTTATACAACTGAATCCCCCTAAACTACTTGTATTTAGTAGGATGGTAAACTTAAAGGGGCACAGTTTGACAGTTAAACTGCTACAATATACTTCGATACATAGACGTAAGTACAATCTCTCGATCAACGTTTATAAAGATCTAGCAAAATGTACTTTAGCCAAAACAAGGTCGTAAAACCACCTTATTCAATTGCCCAATCTCTTAATTCGATCTGTTTTATTTTTGATAACATTTGGAAACAGTTCTGAAATACGTGCCGATATAGATCTCTTACTTCAAGACTTCTCGGCCTTGAGCTTGAGCATGATGCTGTTACATATTTTACCACTAAACAGTGATTGTTATCCGAGTGGTTAACTCAGTGTTTTATATACCACTAAGATTAGGTTCATTTCTCTGAGATTATAATGAAATGAGTTATGTTGAACACAAACTTGGCCATTCAAAGTTCAGCACTGGTATAAAACGACTAAATTTAACTAAATTATTTAAATTCTCACTCAGGTTGAGTTAATTAATGATCCTAGCTAGACGATGCTCGGAACCTTTCATTTGCAATCGTTTTACTTCATAACCATCTTCTATCCGTCTAAAACTACACGACTATTATTCACTTTGTACTTAGGCACTGTTATCGGATTGATAGTGACGGTTAAATTAATGAAAACCTACGGAAATGCTGTTAAATTTCTAGAGTTCATTATCCCACTTATTGATTCTGATAGTAAATTATTAGTCTATTTCTGAGCTGGACCTTTTGAAGGCTAAATAATAAAATGACTGGAATGAATTCATCTATACGCATATAACTTAAGGCAAAAAAATTCCCTGTCTAGAAATATCATTAGTACTTAGTCTATTTACGACTTTCATCTTTTATCATTTTTTAACTTATAAAATATTCCTTAATTAGTTTGGAACTTTAATCCCTTCTTTATTATATCAATAGTTACAATAATAAATTGAACTTACCTCTTGTTTCTCTAGTTTTTGTTGTTCTTCATATCTATGAGTAATTTCATTAATATGAGTTTCTAATACCATTCCACCCAATACAAGTTCATTCAGTATGTAGTGTACCTACAAAACAAAGTTTAAAAAACTATTTTTTAAAAACAATAAATTACCTTATCTACATGGAAAATCAAATCAAGTTCACAAACATTCTCAAAACATTTATCTAAAGCTTCAACAAATACTTGAATTAAATCCAATATGCCAAGTTCACTTTCAGATGAATCAACACAAAATACAAAATACAATGTTGCATAATGACGATAAATTAATCGATAATCTTGTCCACCAACTAGTCTGTAAAAGACCTATATACAAAAACAGGGTATCTTACGTGCCACCTTCTAAAAAATTACAAACATCATCATCTCTTCTCGAGACCAAATGAAAAACTTCTTTGACAATTTTCTGTTGTTCATCTTCACTCTGTGATTGAGATACAGTAAACAATAATTTAAACATACATAGTGCTCATAAAACTTTATTAATCTTGGTTTTCCATGGTTATTAATAATAAGTATGGCACGAATCATCTACAGGAAATATCAAGGTGTATTTGAAACTAGCGCTGCATAAACTCTGTATCCCTGCAGTGAACCGAAAAAAAAAACTAAAGCAAAAATAAAAGACTTAAGTAACCAACTTTTATAAAAGTAATTAAAAATTAGTTACTAGTGTTTGTCAACCGACATAAATATCACCATGAACGTCATCACAAGTCAAAGACTTTTAAGATGTTCAGTCAGTCAGTCACCTACAACGTAGGATCAAGCACATATATGAATCTGTTCAAGCTACCATACTTTTAAGACGTTACGATAAATTGTTATCAGACACCATAACGACCGTTAACTAGTTTATTTTACTTGACGAGCTAGTATCTAAAAGACTTCATAAATCTGAAGTGGTTAAAAGAAACTACCAGTGCGAATAAGGACTCAATCAGATAAAGTCAATGTGGGTCCCTGGTGCTACATCCCATATAGAGTTATTGACGAAGGAAGCTTACAAAATTAAAAGAGATAAAGAGTGAAGTTCAAAAGGAATACCATGCTAGGATACATGTCAAGACTTAAAGACCGATGAATATGACTGTGAGGAATTTTGGTTCAGATTACACTCAAAGCCATTGATTATAGATTATTACAATTCTGAGGGCCTTAATTAGAAAGTCTGTGTCTTATGATATTGCTCAGATCGATAATCAATGACTTCATGGATTGGTCCTGCATCTGAATACCCGTTCCCGTTTTTCCAACCTACTTCTATGACAGCCAGTATTACACATCTAGGTAGGTAGTGGGTAAGCACACATAGCTATAAAAACACATTCTGAGTGTACCACTTGGTTCTGAAGTAAATTGAACAATTTGATGAAAGATAGATGACGTTCGTGAAAAAGGGTGTGAAGACAAATGCGGTAATAAATGTATATTTAAATAAAGCTAGAAGAAATTATTTGCAGAATAAGAAAAATACATTATATTTCAAGGCTTCCCATCAACTATAAACGGACTAAATTTACATTAGCAATATTATCATAAGCGTTTCATTACATATCATAAAAAAGTTTAGTTCGAAACGACAAGAAATAACATATTTGACATAATGGTTAAGACTAATTAGTATTTACATGTTGGAGATAGAGTTAGAGCTAGTGACACGATGTAAGATTAGATTAAGCATCGTCCAAACGTATGGAGAGCTATTTTATCATTTATTTATTTAGTTGGACACATAAATGTCGGCACCGAATACATATGCGCCACACAATTCACTTGATTTGTGTGTGGGCTGTGATACTGCCCGGGTACCCAAATCGAAGGAAATTGTTTTCTTAGACGGCCACACCCGGAGCCTTTGACCCAAAGATCCAATCCACAAGATAGTGGAGCAACTTTAGGAAATTCAGTCTCATAGCCGTCGGTGGCCAACAATAGGTGCATACGCCATTTGCTCCCTCAGACTCCTGGAGCGTATGTGCACTATTGGTTTGGAATCAGGGTTTTCCAAATCCCCCCAGGTAAATCCTGTGTCCACCAACCGGTTAAAACTCCGGACATTCGCTTTTCGTCCTCTCAAGTTCGTGAACAACAATGATGCCGCGAGAAAGTAATGAGTATAAATTTCCTGACAGGGGCTGTTGACCCGTGACAATGTAAGAGCATTTCGAGAAGAACGGACTCTCCCCAAACTTGGTCATACCAGAGAATTTGAGAGCTAACATATCAGGCATTCAGGAGTGCACTGCTAAGACAGATTGGTTAGTAGATACCGGCTCGTCAGTTGAAGCATAATCTATATTTAAAGGTGAGCTCAGTTCAGTTACGTCCTCGTTTATACAATACATGGTACTACGTAGACCGAATAACTTCTCACCATGGGTAATTAAAAATGTCAATAAACATCTTAGATGTAGGAAAAAGCATTTGAATATATTCATCTCTACTGGCCTATAACAGTACAGATCCAGTTATTGTAAGACTAGAAATGCTTGTAAAGCGTTGATTATTAAGACTAGACAGTCATTTGAAAACGCAATTGGTTAGGCATTGTAAAAATAGTCCAAAACGCTTATTCTCGAATACAAAAAGGCGAACTCAAAGAGGTGATGAAATCCCATCTTTTTGGTAAAAACAAATCCGTTAATATTGACAAGAGATAATGTCGAAAAAGCTGGAGTTTCATCGGAATATATTAGTGAAGTGTTTTCTATCAGCAATAAAGAACGACCAATGGTTGATGTTGATTGTGGCGGCTTGTCGATAAATCTTGTAGTTATTGAGAAATATACCGTCTTAAGACTACTTCGACATCTGAAACATGACAAGCCCACTAGTTCTGACGATATTCATTAGAGAATTATGAAAGCCCTTGTCGAATGTAATTGCTGAACTTATAGCCACGCTGTTCGATATGTCTCTGCGGCAGTTCAGACTGCCAAGAGACTAGAAAGACGCAATAATTAGTCCGGTGTATAAGGTAGGGAGTAGAAATTTAGTTAGCAACTATCGACCCGTTGGTCTAATCATTGCAGTCGTTAAACTAATTGAGATTATTCGGATGACCGTTACAACTTTGTAGAAGGGCATAATCTTTTATCTAGGGAACAACACGGTCTTTGGGGAGGCATAACATGTTTGACAAATCTGCTCATTGCAAGAGAAGATTGGGCCGCGGTAAAAGATAGAAATATTCCTGTAGATGTGATTTTCATAGACATAAGTAAAGCTTTCGACAAAGTCTCCCATTTGTCTCTCTCATTGTGGGAACCTGTAAAAAGTGATGTTCTCCAAGGCACGTCTTCTCCTCTTTTTACTTTATGTAAATGAATTACAAACTAGGTCTTTTCAGGTTTTGGATGAAATATTTAGATTATCATATCCAAGTCGACGACGCAGGGAGTGCACACAATGCACCTAAATTTAGTAGGGGAAGTAATAGATAATAATCAGCAATAAAAAATCCTCGGATCAAAACAATTTGGTGACCGAAACTAGAAGTAGATATTCTGACCAAAAACACTTACCAAACCGCCAGTGTGCGACTTCAAGGTCCGAGACGCCTAACAATCAAATAGTGAAACTAAATATACACTATATTCAATATCCTTGCTTCCAACTAACACAAGAGTTTCAGTTTCTTTGTTTGGATCATGATGTTAAGCAGCGTTTATTGGTAGTCTTACCAATCGATGGCAGTCGCTAATGTGAATTTTGCTGGGTATGTTCTTGACAATATGGATCGAAGCAAATATCAGTATACGAACATAAGATTCTATTCTGAATCCTTGAGAATCCACCAAAATTCATTTGGAGGACTCAGGACAAGTTTCTATTTCTATCTATGTCCTTTGGTTGTTTCAGTACTTGACTGCTTTTAAACAAAGATATGATAACAGTCCGAACTACTATGTCCTGCATTTAACTTCTAATTATTCCTCATAAGATTGAGGGTCAAGGTGATAGTGATCCCATATAACATAGGTTGCTTGTCTCGCTTGTGACCGCGAACTTATACAGTGTCCCGTCATGACAGACTGAACCTATGGTCACTTTCGTTAGCCTCTTTCTCCAAAGACTTGGATTCTTATTAGTTATTTTGGGTCCTCTTTGAGCTTCATGACTTTCCACATTATGATCTGTCAGAAGACTAAGAATCCAAAAGACAACCGGCCTGAACTATTTGTTAATACAAAACCAGGTTACTCAAACAAGATGGTGGGCATTTACATTATTAGGCCGTTATGTGAAATCAACAGAGGAAATAAGTGCGGTTTTGTTACGGCTGATCAATCAATAACGTGGTGTGTGGCGATTCACCAAAAAAGTAGCTAAAACGATATTTGAAATATGGGTTACTCGTCTGGGTACCTCAGCTCATTTACATTCAGATAGAGGTACCAACTTTGAAAATATACTTTTTTCAAAAATCATGCCGTGCTGAGAATTCGCAATACGCGAAAAACTGCCTACTATTTAGAAAGCAACAGGCTTGTTGTACGACCCAATCGGAAACTCAAAACGCTACTAAAAACACTTGTTATTTGGGAGGAAGCTAGATCATAGGACTTTGCTACAAACATGTTTGCCGACATATCGCCGTAACGTCCATACGTCCACTGGACAGTTACTGTGGACAGAGACTGATGTGTGACTTCCAGCTGATTTCTTGCCGCCAACAATGCACTCAGAAACTCTATTGGTATCAGACACGGTCATGAAGATTCGAGACGACATATCAAGGCATCATAGTATGACTCAAGTACATTTGGGCATGGTACGAAAACATCAGAGAGAGTATTATGATAAGTAGGCTCATGAAGTACCCTTACAATTAGGAGAAAAGTATTGTTACAAACAAAAAACCTACCAACAAGGACAGTTACTTAACTATGCAGAAAATGAACAGATCCTCATGACATGAACGGAGTTTTAACGAAATCTACGTGTGAGATAAAAGACACCAGAAACGAATGTCGGTTGCATATGGTCACCCTATATAGTCACCTAAAACTGTCTTATGATCGTGTATGATATATGGTTAACCAAAGTCCACATCTAAGTTACTTTTAAAACAATCGGTTCACGACTGTCTTCTGCTTGGTTTGTTACATATCTCAAAGCGAGAGTGGAAAAACTACTACTAATGTGCACAACTGATGTACAATTCCAATTTAATAACACCATATATCGCCAAACCGATGGCGTAGCAATGGGGAGTCCACTAGGTCTAATTCTGGCAGATATTTTTATGGGGTATCTTGAAAACACGATGCTTAAACAGGCGATTAGTGAAACGACGGAATACTACAGATCTGTGGACGACACATTTATTGTCTCTAATAATAAACAGCATGCAATCCGCCTGCTAAAACTCTTCAATAACGCTCATCCTAACATACACTTTACTATGGAGCACGAACAGAACGACATGTTCCACTTTCTTGATGTTGCCATAAAACGTAGGAAAGACGGGACAGCACAACGTTCAGTTTATAGAAAAAGCAATTGGAGTTGCTTCTATCTGAATTTCAATAGTTTTTGTCCAATTAGTTACAAGAAGACACTGGATAAAACGCTATTTGACAGGGTAGAAAAGAGTTGTATCACCGAAAAACTTGAAGAAGAATTAATGAACCTAGAAAAATGTCTAAGAAACAACTTCTATCCACAAAAGATTGTTGACAAATATAAAAAGCCCAAAGAAAACAAGACAGAAATAACTGCGGTCTATAAAATGACAGTATCTATAAATCTTAACTTTAAAGGTGATAACGTCGCACAAATAATCAGCAGGAGACTTCGCTGCACCATAAATTATTTTGTTTTGTTTTTTGTACTTATTACATCATTGATTTTCATTATTTTTATTTCTTCAACTACGTTTCAAATTAATAATCTTTTAACTGAACTCTACTCACTATATTCATATCAAAATTTGTACTCATTATGTAATCAATTGTTTCTAACCCCCTTTTTGAACTGTTATCACAATTAATGATGTAGAATATTCTTTCACATTAGGTACATTTTTACAATGTTCAGTCTATTAATTTCATTTACACCCTTGCTATACTATGTGAATATGTCTTCAATATAACTTCTAACCAAACCCTCTCATGTAAGTCGTTTAAACTCATTATCTAATTATGATTTATAAACATCACAGGTTGTAAGCAGCTGATGAGAACCTACAAAATAAAATGAATTCATGCTATTTTGCTAGAATCTTTGTTCTTGCTCTTTTCAAAATGATAAAGGGAACTATGTGTATGAAATTTCTATCCTGTTGTAATTTCATTTTACGTTTTATATTAGAAGACAGTTATTCAGTTTGGAGTTCCTGTTAAATTGCTACTTCTGTATTCCTGATGAAACATTGACATATCCTTTTCGGATCGTCGTTTTTACTTCAAAAAAGCATAAGTAGTAAATTTTTCTTCCGTGGTGGTTATTGAAAACGATTGAGATGGACGCTTAAAGGAGGGGGAGCAGTGTAATATGAGCTGCGCAGCAAGAGCGAAGCGACCTTTGGTTCAAAGTTATTGATTGATTGGTTAGATCGATACCTGTATTTGGGCAGTCTCAGCTAGTTAGAAGTTCATTGGGACGAGAATATGCGCACATCTTATCGTAACATTTACTCCAACGGCGATTCCAGCCAACCTATCGGGTTGATGGCTACAGTTTCATTGTCACTGTTTCACCCCGTTTGACCATATTAACATCCACTCGCCTAACTTTTAGAACGTCAATACAGCCGGGTAGTACCACATAATATTCATTGCAACGACAAGACGAAGTTGAATTTTTCCGAATTCGTGGAATTATGGTGAGTTTGGTGTTTTTTACTACAATGGCAGACCAAATCTGAAAGTCGTGGATTAGTCATGATTTGAATACCTCAAGGTGTTACAAGTAAAGTGTAAATCTTGTCAGTAGTTATATGCTTGGCTTCAAAGATCGTGTGGTTACAAACCAACACCACTACAAATTCACTAACGACTTTGATGAAAACTCGTATGCCTGGTTTGCACGTTATTTAATTCGAGCCGGTTGTCACTTGCTGCTCTTCCATAAACCACTGTATTGGCATGTCTGGACACTGAGGGTTATACCATTCGGAATGCACCAGTGGAGTAAAAGGACAATGAAATAACTCTTTGCTCACATCGTGAGACGATCGACTGCTTTAGCTGATAAACAGACCAGCCTGGTTTCTTTGCACCTTGGTGAACAAAAAGGATCTTGCCAAGCCAATTCTTTGTGTAGATAAAAAGAGGAACAAGGCTCCAATAGCCACAGAAAGACGCTCACCGTTACAAATATCAGCTTCATTGAATGTATCCTCGATCCGCTCTAGTTATATTCGAACTTCGTCAAACTTATTAAACCGTTCAATGTTCGGTGATTAACATCCCTACACTTAGCTAGGCGAATTATTTGGATGAGTCTCTCCATGATTTGGGTTAGTACCAGGGACATTGCAATCATTCTTGTCACACAGTTCACGTTACTCAGAGTGCTTAGTTGAACCTTTTGTCCTATAAAAGCATTGATATTAAAAATGTCGAAAATGACGACGCAAATTGTATTCTTCCGAAGGAGAGTGAAGCGCGAACGTTTTTGGGCTAACAGTGTTTTAGCTGAGACCTAATATCGAAGACCCAAAAACTACGGCGAATAGATTGTAACTAAACTATGCAGATAGTCAAAAATCTCTAACTTTACGCCACTCGAGTTCCCCTTCGTTAGCGCTCTGCTATGAACTCTGAAATCGGTATCTAAGTACAATTATGGTCTACTTCGATATTAGTACTGCCGTAATAATAGACCTAATCCTAAAATTGTAGATTTGTCATGATATAACTGCCTAATCTATAAGATCATACGTGGAAGTCACATCATCGTCTACACCAATTCATTGCATCGTAACAATAATCAATATACGATGAATAACACACTTGGGCTAGATATAGAACAATATATTTATTATGAATAAATGGTTTAAAGCAACACTCAAGAATGACCACGCCTTCAAGGCCGAGCCATGCAATCTGATGGATTCGAATTATACGAATTATTTCTTCCCTCCTTCTACATTGTTGTGTTATTCTCCGCGTTAAATGTAGAACATCTATTTTCCAAGTTGTCTCGTGATCAGCTTTGACTATTGTGTGATTAAAGCCCAATGACACCACAGAACTGAAGTCCAGATCAGTCAGTCAAACAAATCCGCTTTAACTTACTATTTTATGCTTCTTGATAGTGACCCCAGATAATTTCTGGTGACATTAGCGATGACGCAGGACGAAGTTATGTGATCCATATGTGTTTTCGATGGTATACCATACGAATGATGAAAAAGAGAAAAAGTGTAAGAGGCGGGACAGACAGTGTCCATGACCAGTGAAGTTTAGTCATTTGTGACGGAATAATTTAGGTATGGATACTTAGAATCATTCTTTCTTAGTAGGTTACTAAGCAAGTGTATTTCATCGGAGTAAATAAAACAAGCCAAAGCATGGTATTGGATGAATACAGAATTATGCAAATGGAAGTGGTTTAAAAGAACC